ACTAAACCCATAATTAACTATAAATGAGAAGTGATGTTGCTTTCATTACCAGTTTCTTAACGCGACACAAATAAAATATATTGAGATTAGCACTATTGTCCAGGTTCCATGAACTTTCAAGAACACAATAACAGTCAAGACACGGGGTCTTCTTTTTATTCTTACAAATCCCATAACCAGAGAACTTCCTAAAAGAAATTTCTAGGAATGTACTAGTGTTGGACACCTAATCGATCTAATTTTCTGACCGGGACAAACCAACTTTTTATTTGGGCTACTTGTCAGTATGTAACAGCTGTTCAATCGTACAGCGAAGCCATGACCTCACTCTTATTCTCATTCTTCACTAATCTTGAGTAACAAAATGCCATTCTAAAATCCACACCTATTTATAGCCACAGATAGTGCAAATGAAAGGTAATGAAAATCCCTCTCTTTTGCACTCTGTCTCGCATTTACAAAGTCAGTTGAAGGAAAAAAGAGAGCCCAATTTCGAAATGACGAAAGCTGAGCTAATCTTCATTCCTTCACCAGTTATAGGCCATCTGGTATCAACAGTAGAGGTGGCTAAGCTTCTTGTAGAGCGTGATGAGAGGCTTTCAATCACCTTCCTCATCATGAGGCTACGTTCTGATTCCAAGATTGATAGCTATATTGATTCAGTGAGTGCAGCTTGCAAACGTATGCGGTTCATTGACTTGCCTAAAGATGAGCCTGATCCAAACCAAGCCAACAAGCATTTTTTGCAATTGATTGAAGCCCAGAAACCCCATGTCAAAGAAGAAGTCTCTAAGCTTGTGAGTCACTCCGAGCTAAGCCATGACTCGCCTACACTTGGTGGGATTGTTCTTGATATGTTTTGTACATCAATGATAGATGTGGCCAATGAATTTGGTGTTCCCTCTTATCTTTTCTATACATCAGGTGCAGCTTTTCTTGGTCTTGAGTTTTATATTCAGGCTCTTCATGATGAGCAGAAAGTTGACCCTACCGAGTTCAAGGACTCGGATGCTGAATTAGTCATGCCGTATCTGAGGAACCCACTTCCTGCTAAGGTCTTGCCTTCTGTTATACTTATCAAAGAGTGGTTGCTTGCTCTCCTTGACCATGCGAGAAGGTTTAGGGAAACTAAAGGTATTATCGTAAATACGTTTGAGGAGTTGGAATCCCATGCTCTGAGTTCCTTTTCTAATGGTAATACTCCTCCGGTGTATCCTGTGGGTCCCATTTTGAATCTTAATAGAGATGGTGATCGCGATACAGGGTCAGATAGAAGCAACAAATACAAAGACATCAAACAATGGCTTGACGAGCAACCTCAGTCCTCTGTAGTGTATCTATGTTTTGGTAGCATGGGAAGTTTCGATATGGACCAGGTAAGAGAAATTGCATGTGCGCTAGAGCAGAGTGGGCATCGATTCTTGTGGTCTTTACGTCAACCATCACCCCAGGGTATGATGGAAGCTCCAACTGATTATGCGAATCTTCAAGAAGCCTTGCCTGAAGGATTCTTAGATCGAACTATGGAGATTGGAAAAGTTATTGGATGGGCTCCACAAATAGATATTTTGGCTCATCCATCAGTGGGAGGATTTGTGTCCCATTGTGGATGGAACTCTACGTTGGAAAGCATATGGTTTGATGTTCCGATTGCCGCATGGCCATTATATGCAGAGCAACAATTCAATGCTTTCCAAATGATTGTGGAATTAGGATTGGCAGTGGAAATTAAAATGGACTATAGAAAAGATCATTTTCAGACGGATGGTAATAAAAATATTGTTACCAGTGAAGAAATAGAGAGAGGAATAAGGTGTTTAATGGAGCTTGATCATGAGAAGAGGAAGAAGTTAAAGACAATGAGTGAAAAGAGTCGAAAGGCTTTGATGAATGGTGGATCTTCCTATATTTGGCTAGGTCGTTTCATTCAAGATATGATGGACAATATAGCATGAACAAAATGTATTTTCTTTTTACTTCATCAAATAAAATGTACTTTTTTCAGATATGGTTAATGTAAGCTCAAATTTAGTTCCAAATTACTCAATTTTCAATTCAGCTGTTTTTTTCTTGTTCAGTTACATTTTCTATTAAAAAATAAGTACTGGTTTCGGGAATAAAAGAAGCCTAAAACAAAAGAAGAAAGGAGGAAGTTTTTGTTTTTCTTCTTCTTCTGGCATTTGAAGAGGAGAAACAGACAAAAATAGAGAGAAGGAAATTTGCACTTCAAACACTCTTGCCAGCCATTTCATCTTCCTCAATCGCTGATTTCCAAACTGGTATTGTATTGGCTTTTCTCCTTTCTTTTTTGCAGTCTCAGAAAGTTTAGTTTTCTTAAATTTTGGGACTAAAGACAGTAGCAAGTGTGAGGGAAAAAACCAAAGCTTCAAGCAAACTGGATGACTTTTGGTCTTTATGTTTCTCTTGTTTTCTTTTCGTCGTGATAAATAGGTTGATAAATGCTAGTTTTCCATTTATGAATATTAAAGGATTAAGCTTTGCTTTTCACTTTGTACCGATACCGTAGCAGTAGAGAAAGGTTAATGTGATTCGATTTAAAGATAGACCATCTTGCTTGGAGGTTTTGGGTTTTATATGAAATAGAGCCAATTATGATCTGTTGCTAAAGGAAACTACAGCGTGTGCAAATGATGAGAAGAAAAAGAAACACAGGTTGAGAGTAGAAGAAGAAGAGAGTAAAAGAATTCGGGCCAGGGAAAGAAAGAAGCTTGGGCTTGGTTTACTTAGATAGGTTGGACTGTTGGGCTGAGATGTGGGCTCTGAAAGGCCTCTGGATTAGGGAAAGTTAGGGCTAGCAGGGCCTAAGGTTATGGTGGGCTTGGGCTTGGGTCTATGAGTTGAGCCAGAGAGAAAACGAGATACACGGGCTGGGATTTGAGTTGGGCTAAGGGCCCAATAGGCTCATAAATCATTTTTCTTAGGATTTGCATTTTATGGTTAACTTGCTCATTTTGACTTGAAATTTTTATGTGTGTTAAGTAGGATTATCCTTAACCTGTGTTTAAAATTTCGTAAGTTTTAAAATTTATTTGGAATTATTTAATTTTTTTGACTAATTGTTAGTTGTTTTCATTGTCTAAAAATTTAATTTAGCTTATTTTTTAATTTTATTTTAATCCAAACTTTTTACAGTGTGATTTTTTGTTTGTATATAAGTTGTGTGTCAAATTTCATAATTTTATGAGTTAATCTTATATTTATTTAGTATTTTTTTCATGGTTTTATAATCCATTTAATTATTAATGTGTTTTATCTTATGAGTTGATATTTTTTTCTTAGTTCAAGCGTCTTTGACATTTTAATCTTAAATTCCTAAGATTATACGGAAATTTGTTTGTCCATGTATTGTGTTTCAATTTCACAATTTTCTTTTTCATTTACTTGTAATTTATTATAATTTTGTTATTATGTAATTTAATGTGATGGTGAATCATTAAGTCTCCTGGATTCTAGGATCGATGACCATCTTCTTTCAAATTCGTCATGCTAAAAAAAATGCAAAAAACAAAATCATGCTAAAAATAAATAATAATAATAATAATAATAAAACAAATTTAAATTAATTTAACGAGTCTCATATTTAATAGAAACGAACATTATTCTTGACATCAATTAAAAAAATACCGATCAAGTGTCCTTAGTAATTTTGTCATTCTTCGACATATCAATTATGTCAAGAGTTTAATTGGATCCGATATTCAATAAATAAGACTTTTGATTTTGAAGTCCGATCTTAATTCTATATGATGCCACAATAAAAAAATAAAAAAAATAATAATTTGGCTTTGAAAATAGCTTAACTTGTAAATAAACTTATAATATAATTTAGCAAAATAAACTCTTAGGTGATATATATTTTAGGTTTAAACTAGATATGGAATTTTTTTCAAAAAAAATATTTTAATTGACATCTTTCAAAAAATACAATCAATTCATTACCAGTAAATCTCTAATTTCAGCATTTTCGTTTTTAGATTTTTTATTTTTTTTAATTTTAGATTGCGAATTCAAAACATTTGCTAACTCTTGTCTCTCAAAAACAATAAATCCAAACTTATTATAATTTTTTTTTTTTTGAATTCTCCTAAATGTCAGGTAGTGACAACTATTTGTTAAACAAAAAATTATTGGGTGGATGGGGCGGATTTATTATCTCATTTATGAAATACTTGAGAAGAAGGAAAATTAGTGAACTCATAATAATAATAATAATAAAACCACAAAGCAAGATTGCTTCCAAAATTAATTTGCACGTCCCGGGACCCGGTCAGTTGTTTGAAAAGTATCCAACGAATATTTAATTTTCACTTGCCGAGAAAAAAAAAAAAAGTTGAAATCAAAGGAATTATTTTTTTATTAAAAAAAGGTAATTAACTATAAAATACATGTGATGTGATGTTGCGTTCCCTTGGAGGCGGGTAAAACATTGACTTGGCAGTACTGAAGCAAATAGTAATGGTCAAGAATTTTATTTTATTTTTTCTAAGTCAAGGACTCTGTGCCAATAAGCTTTCTATTAGACTAAATTATAAATTAATCTATTTTCTTTCTAGAAATAAATAAATTATTTTTTAAAAAAAATAATTATTTAATTATTTTAATCGATTATAATTAATTTAATTTTTTAATAAAATATTTTATTTTTTCATCAATTTTAAATATTTTTATTTATTTTTTAAAACAAAAAATTTAAAAATAATTGAATAATTAATTTTAGAAATAAAAAACTAATAAATCTGTTTGTCGGTGGGGACGATGAAACTTACATTTGACTTCTTTTATAATTATTATTATCATTATTTCCAAACAATGACAGCAAAGCCATGACGTCACTCTTATTCTTATCTGCCGCGAATCTGATTAATTAATAAATTAATGACATTAATCTCACATCCAGAACTCCCTTATAAAAAGCACCCCCATGAAAGTCTATCCTTACAAACTAAGTTGCCTACTCGTTGAAAGCAAAAGAAAAAAAAATGAAGAAAGCTGAGGTAGTCTTCGTTCCAGCACCAATTATAAGCCACCTTGTATCCACAGTACAGGTAGCAAAGCTCCTAGCAGAGCGTGATGAGAGGCTTTCAATCACCTTCCTCATCATGAAAATACGTGTTGACTCTCAGGTCGATAGCTACATCGATTCAGTGAGTGCAGCTTGCAAACTTATCCGGTTCATTGACTTGCCTGAACAAGAGCCTGATCCAAACCAACCCAGCAAGTTCATCTTTTCTATGATTGAAACCCAGAAACCCCATGTCAAAAAAGAAGTCTCTAAGCTTGTGAGTCAGTCCGATTCAAGCCCTGACTCGCCTAAACTTGCTGGGTTTGTTCTTGATATGTTTTGCACACCGATGATAGATGTGGCCAATGAATTTGGTGTTCCCTCTTATGTTTTCTTTACATCAGGGGCAGCATTTCTTGGCCTTCAGTTTTACATTCAGGCTCTTCATGATGAGCAGAAAGTAGATCCTACTGAGTTCAAGGACTCAGATGCCGAGTTGGCCCTGTCGTGTTTGGCGAACCCACTTCCTGCTAAGGTCTTGCCTTCTGCTGTAATTGACAAAGAGTGGCTGCCTGTTCTCCTTGGCCTAGCAAGAAGGTTCAGAGAAACCAAGGGTATTATGGTAAATACATTTGAAGAGTTGGAATCCTATGCTGTGAACTCTTTCTCTAATGGTAACACTCCTCCGGTGTATCCAGTGGGTCCCATTTTGAATCTGAACAGTGATGATGATCATGACATGGAGTCGAACAAAAGCAACACATACAAAGACATCAAGCAATGGCTCGATGAGCAACCGCAATCCTCCGTAGTTTTTCTATGTTTTGGAAGCAGGGGATGCTTCGGTGCAGACCAAGTGAAAGAAATTGCATGTGGACTAGAGCAGAGTGGGTGCCGATTCTTGTGGTCTCTACGTCAACCACCACCGCAGGGTAAGACGGGAGCTCCGAGCGATTATGATAATCCTCAAGAAGTATTGCCTGAAGGATTCTTAGCTCGCACGACTGAGATTGGAAAAGTGATCGGATGGGCTCCGCAGATAGATATCTTAGCTCATTCATCTATAGGAGGATTTGTATCGCACTGCGGATGGAACTCTGTGTTAGAAAGCATATGGTTCGATGTTCCGATTGCTGCATGGCCATTATATGCAGAACAGCAATTTAATGCTTTCGAAATGATTGTTGAGTTAGGGTTGGGAGTTGAAATCAAAATGGATTATAGAATGAAACTTAATGCAGAGGAGAGTGAAAGTACTAATGTAACAGCTAGGGAAATAGAGAGAGGAATAAGGAGTTTGATGGAGCTTGACAAGGATAAAAAGATGAAGTTGAAGGAAATGAGTGAAAGAAGTAGAAAGGCTTTGATGAATGGTGGATCCTCGTATGCTTGGTCAGGTCGTTTGATTCAAGACATGGTAGACAACATGCTATGAATAAAATGTATTTTTTTTCTTTTTGCATTATCTAATAAAACCTACTTAGCATTAAACTATTTTGATTTCTTAATTATTTCAGTAGGCAAATATCAAATATATACCACCGAATTATTAGGGTAGTGGTTTCAATTTGCATCCAAATTATTTTTTTATTAATTTTACTATCAAACTATTTTGATTTCTTAATTACATGCTTTTGTTAGGATTATTTTAAAAAAAGAAGATAATTTTCTACAAAATAGCATCATTTCTTAAAAAAAGAAAAAAAGAAAAAGAAAAGAAGAGAGTATAATTCGGATAAAAATATGGACAAAAAACCTTTAAAAATAGATGAAAGTTTTTAATTGAGAATTTTTGAAAGTTTGAGGGTAAAATTGATTTAAAAATTTCTTTGATGGTAATATTAAAACTACCTAGATAGTTGGATGATAATTTTTAGATTGGCCATTCTTTAATTTGTGCATTTGTCCAAACACTCTTTATTATGAGAATACTAATCGTTAAATCGAAGAAAAATAATCATTTAACGAATCTATGTAAAAAAATCCCTTCTCTCAAACTAATCATATTTTTATTTTGATTAGCATGTGATATTTAAGTTATAACTCCTTGTAGAAATATGTTGTGGATATATCGATTATGTTATTACTTAATTTTTTTTTAATATTTACATATAGTTAGATATTTTTGAGTTAGAACATTATTCAAAACTAAATTTAAAAAATATATTTTTTATATAATAATAAAGAGAGAATAAAAATAAAAATAAAACATAAGATATTTGATAATATTAATTGTTGAATCGAAGAAAAATCAACTGTTAATGAATTTATGTAAAAATCCCTTCTCTCAAAAGCTAACTTTTTGGTTTTTTTTTAATCATCATGGATCTATTCTTCTAATTAATGAATATCAGGGAACTCACTAAGATTGGATTTTTTGCACGAAAATTAGACCGGATAAAACAAAACAATCAATCATCCTAATTTTCTATTCGGTGGGTGTAAAAGGCCGCCACAAATCCATCATCACCGGCGACAAAGCACATTTTGACTCACCTAGCTTTGAAAATAAAATTCTTAATTAGATTACTGACAAAAGCTTAAGCCAAGAATGTCAAAGTAAAATAAAGACAAAATGAAAAAGGTTTACTTGTCAGTATATGTACTTTGCTGTTTACACTGCTAGAAAGCCTATCTTTATTCTCCTCCGCGAGTACGATCGTAAGAAAAATGCCAATTTACCATTAAAAAAATTATTAGTCGAGTAAAAAAAAAAGTCATGTACTGTTCGTATACTTAAAAACTCTTGTTTTTTATATTCGGTAAAAAATTAGATGAGATTCCACAATAATCTAACTTAAAAAATAATAATTTTAATTTTAATTAAAGTGAAAGCTAATCTAAAAATATTTTATTTAAATATAAAAAAATGCCTATTCATGAGCTCATTAATGGTCTAAGCTTACAACAAAGGGAGCCACATGTTACACAAATTCATTGCATGATGATAAAGTTTGACAACTAACCTTGTTTTCATTCTAGTCCGATAGCTAAAAGTTCTTTACCTATCCAGAATAAATAATATGCATTTCACGTGGACATATATTTTAAATATTAAAGTTTGAATATCTATTATGTTAATTGAAATTGAGTTATATCTAAAAAATAATATTTCATTATGAATTAACTATTTAATGTGAAATATGTTTTTTAATATTCTCTCCTATTTATAGTCCATATTTTAGAATTTGTCAAGTGGCTTAGGTTTAGAATCTTTCATACTATATATAATTAGATGGTTGAGATTCGATTTTATTTAAAAAATTTAAGTTTTATTGTGGATGGTTCTTTCTTAACTTTGTATGTCATCTATAACACTTTTTTCTCACCAACAATTCATTTTTACTAGACCGTTGGGTCTCTTTGAGATTATAATTTATAGAATTAGATAGTTAAAATTAGGTTTTATGGAAAAGACATAAGCTTTTTGGCGAGATGATACCACTTTATATATTATTTATCTTTAATTTAACTATTTAATGTAGGATATGTTCTCTAACGAGTAATCAATTTAGTTATTCGTGGTAATACAACCTCTTTTTCTATTCTATTAACTAATAATTACTAACGACTAATTTTTTAATGCTTAAGAACTGATATTCTATTTTGTTGTTCCACTAACTAATAACTACTAATGTTAACCTTTCATGTACAACTTATGTGAACGGCAGATTCTTATAGGTGACAAAAAAGAAAAAAAAATTATCTTATTTTAAAAAATTATCTTATTTCTATAAACTTGAAACCTAAAGTTGAATTAATTCTTACGAGTATATGTTTAATATATGTACACTTCACTCTCATTGCAATTTCTTATTGAAGGAAAAAAAAAGCATTACTAATAAACTCAAAGGCGTGGCCTTAGTAGATTACTATTGCTAAACTGTTCATTCATTATTCACAAGTGGTTTTTTTTTTTTTTATGTCGAGCTCCCCCCCTCTCTCTCTCTCTCTCTCTCTCTCTCCCTCCCTCGTTGCTTAAAGCCCTCTTTTGTTTCTTTTTTTTTAAAAAAATTTATGTTGTTGACCCCTACCCCCCCCCTCTCTTAGCTTTTAATAATTTTACATTTTAGTTTTTATTTTGTAACCTTTTCTAATTTTAGTTATTAAAATTTTATTATATTTGATTTTTGTCCTTATAATAAATCAAAAATTTCCCTCTTGCTGCATTTTTAAGTCTCTCTTTTGGTTTTTAGTTAATTTTATTTTTTATTTTAGTCCTTATTTTGTAACTTTTTTTTTTGCTTGTTAAAATATTAGTTAATTTTATTATTATTATTATTATTATTGGTTTGGTTCATGTAGTCTTTCCCTTGCTGCTTTAAGCCCTCTTTTAGCTTTTAATAATTTTACATTTTAGTCCTTATTTTGTAATCTTTTCTAATTTTGTTAACTAAAATTTTATTATATTTAATTTTTATCCCTATAATAAATCAGTTATTTTCTCTTGTTGGATTTTTAAGTGATTTGGTCCCTTTTTTTTTTTTTAGTGTTTTTTGTTAATTATTTTATTATTTAAAATTTATTACTTTAATTTGTCATTTTTAAAAAAATTTCCATCCAATTAATTTAAAATTATATTTGCTTGACGAGTTTTGATTTATTTTTCCGTATGTATGGATTTTGAAATAAATTTTTAGAACATGATTATTTTTTCTTTTGAAAAATAGATTTAGATAATTTTAAAATTATAGTGTCATGATTAATATATATAATTTTTTATAAAATATATTTTTAGATTAAAAGTGTATTTCAAATAATTTTTTCTTAGTTTTTTATATTATTTAAAATTTACTACATTAATTTGTCATTTTTAAAAAAAAAGTTCTTTTTTTTTTCAATTTCAAACTTGTGATTATATTGTGATTTCGTCCCATTTGGTTTTGATTTTTTTTATTAATTATTTTTATTATTTAGAATTTACTGCTTTAATTTATCATTTTTTAATAAATTCTCATTCAATTAATTTAAAATTATATTTATCTACAATTTTGATTTATTGTTCTATATGTATGGATTTTGAAATAAATTTTTAGAACATGATTATTTTTTCTTTTGAAACATAGATTTAGATAACTTTTAAATTATAATGGCATGATTAATATATATATATATATATATATATATAATTTTTCTAAAATATATTTTTAGATTAAAAGTGTATTTTAAATAATTGTTTTTTGTTTTTTTTAAGAAAAAAATCAAATTAATTAATTAATTGTTGAAAGTCAAATGTGAAAAAAAAAAAAAAAAGATGATTGCTCTCTGCGTGAGGCTCGTATTCAAAGACTAACCACGCATAGCATAGAAATAAAAAAAAAATCTAAGAAGGAGGAAAAAAGAAAAGAGAATTCAAATGTTTTATTAATATGTTTCTCTTTTATATAATCAAAATTAATCAAAATCAAATTTGTAATCATTTTTATTTTAATATGTTAACTTCAAATATAGTCAATAGATTTCTTGTAAGTTAACTTCTTCTTGTTTTTTAGCATTTTTTGTTTTAGACTGAGAACTTTGAACTCACTTAGTATAGTTATGATGTATAAAAAAATATTGAATATTTGTTTTTTAGAAATTAACTATGTAACTACCACTACACTAAGCATTTACTATTTATTTATTTGTTTTTGAATATTTTAAATTAAATAATTAAAATATTTTTTTGGCATAACCACTTAATAATTCAAATTAATATATTTTTTATTTTAATATTATTCATTATTTTTTAAATAAATATATAAAAATTAAATTCACATTTTTTCAAAAATCAATATTCTTATCAACATTAAATTAAAAAATTATTTATTCAATTCTATGTAAGCTTTTAATAATTTTTATTTATGTTTTTCAATACAATCTTCTGAAACACTAAAGTTTTTTTTTAAAAATTATTTAATTTATCTTTTAGTTAATAATCCATGGATTAACAAGGATAAATCCTTTTCCTATAGGACAAATTATGAAAAATACAAATAAGAAATAGTTAAATACAAGATTTTTTATTAAAAAATTATAAATAATTTTTTCATCTTTTATTTCATATATTGTTTATAGATTTATACCATAAAATAGACTATCAAATTGAAATAATTTTATTTATAATTTAATATATTTTATTTAACCCACTATGTAGCGTGGGTAAAAAAAATAGTTGCTCTTTAAAACTTTTATAAACATACGCACAGCGACAGTGGTCCATATTTGAAACTAAGCATTTCAAATATTGTAATTTGCAGCAGAATCTTATACGAAACGAAGAAAGCAAAGATGGTGTTTATCCCTGTACCTGCTATTGGCCATATTGTAGCGACAGAGACTGCTAAGCTCCTTGCTGAACGTGATGAAAATAAAATTCTTAATTAGATTACTGACAAAAGCTTAAGCCAAAAATGTCGAAGTAAAAAAAGAAAAAAAGAAAAAAGCTTCTGATGACAAAACCAATCATTCTCCAGCTTTACTTGTCATTATATGGAATTGCTGTTTACACTGCTAGAAAGCCTATTTTTCTTCTCCTCCACGAGTAGGATCATAAGAAAAATGCCAATTTGCCATTAAAAAAATTATTAGTAGTCATAAAAAAAGTGTTTTTGATTTATAAATTAAGAGTTTGATTATTTTCATTGGAAAAGTTCTCTCTCTCTTTTGTGTAACTGGAGATGTGTTGTTCGTAAACTTAGAAACTCATGTTTTTTATATTAAAAAAAAATTGATGTGATTCGATAATAACCTAATTTAAAAAATAATAAATTTAATTTTAATTTAAGTAAAAATTAATCTACAAATATTTTACTTAAATATAAAAAAATGCCTATTCAAGAGCTCATTAAGGGCCTAAGCTTGCGACAATGGAAAACCACATGTTACACTAATTCATTGCATGATTATAAATTTTGACAATTAACCTTGTTTTCATTCTAGTCTAATAGCTAAAAGTTATTTACATATCCATCATAAATATTATATGTTTCACAGGGACATATATTTTTCATATTAAAGTTTCAGTACCAATAGGTTTTTGCTACAATGATAGTAAACTTGAATAATTTTTTATTTTGTAGTTGTGATTATAGAGTTAGATAGTTGAAATTGGATTTTATTCAAAAAATGATATCTTCTTATGAATTATATATATTAATCATCATTGGTTTAACTATATAATGTGAAATATATTCTCTAACACTTCCTCTCATTTGCAATCCATTTTTTAGAATCGTCAAATGACTTGGATTTAGAATCTTGATTAGTCTAGAAACACTCTAAAATAACATTGGCCTCTTTGAGATTCGGATACTATATAAAATTAGATAATTGAAATTAGATTTCATCTAAAAAACTTAAACTTTGTAGTGGGTGGCCCTTTCTTAACTTTCTATGTCACTCATCTTTTGTTTAACTTTTCAATGTGGAATATATACTTGGAACATTTCTCCTCACTTGCAACCCATCTTTCTTGGGAAATTGGACGTCTTTGAGGCTTGGATTCTTTATACGGTTATGCAATTAAAATTGAGTTCCATTAAAAAAAAAAAAACTTAAGCCTTTAGGTGGGTGGCTCATTCTCAAATTTATATATTATTTATCTTTGCTTTAACTATTTAATATAAGATATATTCTTTAATAGTAGTCAATTCAATTATTTGTTGTAATACGACCTCTTTTTCTCGTTCGCTAACTAATAACTACTAATGTTAGATTTTTAATGCCTAATAGTGGCTAATAAATTTGGTGTTCCCTTTTATGTTTTGTTTACATAAGGTGTAACTTTTCTTGGCCTTGGGTTTTATATTCGAGCTCTTCATGATGAGCACAAACTAGATCTTGTTGAGTTTAAGGACTCGAATGCCGAGTTGATCATGCCGTGTTTGGCGAAACCACTTCTTGCTAAGATCTTGCCTTCTGTTTTACTTGACAAAGAATGGTTGGTTGTTCTCCTTGGTCTAGCAAGAAGGTTTAGAGAAACTAAAGGTATATTTGAGGGGTTGGAATCTTATGCGATGAACTCCTTTCGTAATGTTAATATTCCTTCGATGTATCCAATAGGTCCTATTTTGAGTCTTAATAGAGATGATGATCATGACATGGAGTCATATTAAAGCAACACATATAAAGACATCAAGCAATGGCTTGAAAATCAACCTCAATCCTCCATAGTTTTTTTATGTTTGGGGAGTAGGGAAAGCTTCGGTGTGGATCAAGTGAGAGAAATTACATATGGATTAAAGTAGAGTGGGCATCAATTATTGTAGTCTCTACGTCAACCATCACCATAAAGTAATATGGGAGCTCTAAGTGATTATGATAATTCTTAAATTGAAAGACTAAGATTGGGAAAGTGAGTTGATGGGCTCTACAAATAGATATCTTGGCCTATTTATCCATAATAGGATTTGTATCGCACTCGTAGATGGAATTCTATGTTAGAAAGCATATTGTTACATCCTACATGAAAGAGGGATTTTTTTAGAAGCCAATATAATCCAAAAGGTTCTAAAAGATTATAGAGCAATAGAGACACTTATAGGGTGCTCAAGAAAAATCTAGACATGTCATAGAGAATTTTAGAGAGTCCCTCATTGTTTTAGCTTATACATATCTAGATATTTGTTTTTTTTTAAATATCTATGTAAAAAAATTCTAGAGAATCATTTATAGCCATTAGATCAAATAAATCCTAGCCATCCATTAAGGAGGTGGAGATTTATAAATAAGGGAGGCCTTCATTTGGCCAAGGCATCCAATCCAAGAGTTGTAAGTTTTAGAGAGAGCTATACAAAGAGTTCTTATATTTATTATATGTGTCTTTGTTGCTTTACAACTATTGTAAGAGATAGGCTTACTTGATTTAGCTTATGGGGCGTGAGCCAAGTGCTGCATGAAAGCTTACGAAAGGCCAAGTTTGTGACAAATGATATTAGAGCTAAATTCTATCAAATATGGTTAAGCTTACAGCTAGCTAAATATTCAAAGAGTAAACATGTTTAGCTCTAATGTTGAGGATATTATTGAGGACACTAGGAACAAGACTCTACCTTCTCAAACGAAGAAGGTATGGAAGAAGTCTCGTGACGTGATGGTTGCCTTAGAGGAGTAGCCCTTAAAGGAAAATGAACACCTTATCGATTTTAAGAAGAGACTTGAAGATAGAGAATGGGACGATGTGGGGGAGACATTAGGCATAACGGACCTACGTGAGGTGCTCTTTAATCTCCAAATTTGAGTGGAGTTGGTTAAGAGGTGTACTAAAGAGAATTTTACCAAAAAGGATGCCTTTGTGTAATGATGAAGGAATGTTCAAGCAACATCAAAAGTCTATGAACATGTAGGACAAACTTTTGAGTAGCTTAAAAGATACGAGGCACTTTGTCATGAAACAATCTCAAATGGTATAGTCTTGAGGGAACCATTGAAAGTTGAAGTGCCAAGACCTAGGCACTATGCGAGTAAAGAGGATGCGAAAGAAGTCGATAACTTCTTTTGACAAGTGGAGCAATACTTTAAGGTAGTGGGCTTAAGTAAGGATAGAAGTTGTGAGAAGATCGCTATCCTCTACGTAATAAAATATGTTTCTCTATGGTGGTGCATGAAGGATAAATAGCTTAAAAATAAGAATCAAGAGTTGCTCGTTTTAGATAAATTCAAAAAAGCTATGTATGCTCAAATTCTACCATAAAAAAGTACATTAAGAAGCGTAGAATAAGCTATGAATGTTGAAGCATACAAAAACTATTCACGAGTATATCACGGAATATGTATCCCTAAAACTTCGGGTACGTGGCAAATCCAACTATAATCATATATGTATGATTTTATTAAAAGGTTTCAACCATAGGCATAATAAGAGGTGTGAGGTCGATGACATAAGATGTTCACCAAAGCGATGGCCATAACCGAATCTCTAATTGAGTACAAAAAGAAAGTGGAACCCTCCAAGCCTAAGAAAGGTTTCAAAGATAAAGGGGAGAAGCCAATGAGAAGAAGGAGTACAAAGATGGGTAAGAAAAAACACACAAATTCAAAGAATTTGTCAAAGAGCATGACAAGAGAGAATTCAAGCCCAAAGGTTGCTACTTTTGCAACGGTCGTATCAATAGAGAGTGCTTAAAGTGACAAACCCCCAATACCTTGATGGAGGAGAAGGAATATGCTCTGAGAGCATAAGAAGCATTTAAGATCATTGTGGCTCCTTAATGCATCGAATGTCAAGGCCTTATCCAAGGTGTCATACAAAGATGGGATAATGTATATGAATGTGGATGTGAATGGTAAGGCTACACTTACCATGTTAGACACAAGTTCCACACACAATTTCATGCTTGAGGATGAGGCCAAAAGACTTGGTTTGATGGTGAACGAGTCATCGAGTAGCATGAAAACAATAGATGCTTTTCCAAAGCCTACTAGTGGCGTAGCATGTGGAGCCTTGGCATAGATGCATGGAAGAGAACACTCGAATTTTATGGTTATTACGATTAATGATTTTAAGATTGTGCTAGGTATAGAGTTCTTCAAACAAACAAAAGCGATACCTACACCTCACTTGAAATAAATGATGATAATGAAAGAAGAGACATCATATATGGTGCCAACCAAAGCACACACTAGATTCGAAATGAAGCATCTTTCAGCCATGTAAGTGAAGAAGGGCTTCAAAAAGAAGAAATTACCTACTTGGCAACATTGAGAGAAGATGGGTCGGTAAATGATAAGGGTGGAGAGATACCTAAAGAGATTGTCAATTATTGACCGAATTTGATGATGTGATACCATTAGAGTTGCTCAAGAAGTTACTGCATAAAAAGAAGACTGATCACCAAATTGAGTTGTTGTTAAGTGTCAAGCCTCCAACCATGACATTTTATTGTATGGTCCCTCCTGAATTGAAGGAATTGAGATATTTTCACTCTAGAAGATCACTCGAAACTAAAATTAAAAAAATATATTTGTTATATAATAATTAAGAGAGAATAAAAATAGAAACATGATAATGAAAATAAAACATAAGATATTTGAGAATATTAATTGTTGAATGGAAGAAAATTCAACTGTTAATGAATTTATGTAAAAATCCCTTCTCTAAAAAACTAACTTTTTTTTTTTAATTATTATTATCATCAGGATCTGTTCTTCTAATGCATCACAATCAGGGCACCCACTAAGATTGGATTTTTTTTGTACGAAAAGTAGATCGGATAAAACAAAACAATCAATCATCCTAATTTTCTATTCGGTGGGTATAAAAGGGCAGCCACATATCCATCAACATTGGCGACAAAACACATTTTGAATCGCCTAACATTGGAAATAAAATTCTTAATTAGATTACCGACAAAAGCTTAAGCCAAAAAGTCAAAGTAAAATAAAGAAAAAAAGAAAAAAGCTTCTGATGGCAAAACCTATCCTTGTCCAGTTTTACTTGTCAGTATATGTAATTGCTGTTTACACTGCTAGAAAAGCCTTTTTTTTCTTCTCCTCCACGGGTAGGACCATAAGAATAATGCCAATTTATTATTAAAAAAACAACAATCAGTATACTGATAAAAAAGTATTTCTAATTCATAAATTAGGAGTTTGATTTTTTTCTTCTGAAAAGCGTTTTTTTTTCCTGTGGTACTGGTAATGGACTGTTCGTGAATTAAAAAATCATTATAATTGACCAAAATTAGATGTAATTCGATAATAATCTAACTTAAAAAATGATAAATTTAATTTCAATTAAAATAAAAATAATCTAAAAATATTTCATTTAAATATTAAAAAAAAAACCAATCCAAGAGCTCAATAATGGTCTAAGCTTGCGACGATAGGGACCATGGACATGTTACACTAATTAACAGCATAATCAATTACGCGCATGATGAAAAAGTTTGACAATTAACCTTGTTTTCATTCTAGTCCAATAGCTAAAAGTTACTTGCATTAAGATATAAAATGAGTCTATAAATAAGTAGATCACATGTTGCATAATAAATACTATGCATTTCACATCGACTTGTATTTTTAATATTTAAGTTTTTAAAATATTTCATTACCGAAGATAATTAGAATAACTTCTTATTTTTTAGTCGTAGTTACGGAATTAGATAGTTAAAATTAAGTTTCATCTAAAATATTTAGATCTTTTGATGAGTAGTTCATTCTCAACTTTATATATTAATTATTTTTTATTTAATTATTCAATATGAATATATTATCTAACATTCCTCTTGCTTGCAATCCATCCTTTGAGATTTGTCTCAAGTTGCTAGGCTCTAGATCTTTATTGGATCGTTAGATTTCTTTAATACTCTAATACCATATAGAATTAAATAGTTGAGATTGAGTTTCATGCAAAAAGCTTAAGCTTTATAATGGATACCCCTTCTTAAGCTTTATTGAGCCATTGAGCCTTTTTGAGACTTAGATACTATATAAAATTAAATAGTTAAAATTGGTTCCATCCAAAAAACTTAAGGCCTTTGGTGTGTGATCCCTTCTTAACTTTATATATTTTTTATTTTTTATTTAACTATATAATGTGGCATCTATTTTCTAACGGTAGTCAATTGAGTTATTTGTCATAATACAACCTTTTTATCCGTTATGCTAACTAATAACTACTAATGGTAACCTTTTAATGTCTAACAACTTCTATGAATCTTATATATGATTTTAAAAAAAGTTATATTTATTTCCATAAACTTGACACCTAAAATGAAATCATCTTGTAAAAGAGACATAACCATACTAGGAAGAGAAGAGTTAAGATCGTTAGTATTCAAAAATGCTTCCTTGTATACAAGTATAATTACTTTTTGTTTTGACCAAATTGCTCTCTTAATCTCTTTTTCTTTTGTATAAAAACTCGCATTCTCTCTCTTTTGCTCTCTTGGTCTCTCTTTCCTTTTCTCTTTTGAATTCACAACTACAATCCCCTTTCCATTCTTTTTTTTACTCATTTCACTTTTTTTTCCTTACACAACTCCCGTCTTTTCTTCACTCCCTTTTAAACTCACTTGATCTTCATAAATCTATTTGGGAGTCCAAGGTACAAGAGTTACATTTTTTTCATTTAAAAACAAAAGAGTAATGATTTCTAAACCCATCATGCATGACTCGCCTATCAAATTGCCAAGGATGACCTAATAACACATGACCGAACTTGTATGGCTACAACATCACACAATACTTCATCTTGGTACCTACTTATAGAAAAGGACACAACTATTTATTTAATCACCCTAACTTCTCCATAATCATTAAGCCATTGAAGTTTATATGGCCTAAGGTGTTTAACACAGAGTTAAACCAAGTTTCTCAACTAGAGTAATACTAGCAACATTAGTACAACTTTCCTTATCCATGATAAGACTACATACCTTTTTCATAACATGGCAACGTATGTGAAAGATATTTTCTCGCTGCTCTTCTTCTTCTTCCCTCAATTGGATACCTAAGGCTCTTCTTGCAACAAGCAATTCTCCATGTATAGCAAACTCCATCCCATCATTATCATCTTCTAATGGTGACATCTCATCATTATTCTCATGCTCACTTTCATATTCATAAATGTCATCTCGAATCACTATTGCTCGCTTGTTTGGATATTGCAAAGCAATATGTCTCCTATCCAAACACTTAATATCACGATTTTTAGGAGTTTGGGTGCTAGAAGGACCTTCGTGTTTGCTGAATCAAGAATTAGTTTTAGGTCGACTCTCCTCTACTTTAGGTTTACACTTGGGCTTCTCCTTATTCTTGCTTCAATTGTTCTTCCAAGATGAAGAACTTGTATTCCGTCCAATACATGAATTGCCTTTGTATTTGAGTTGCCTTTCGATTTTTCCTACCAATTATACCAACTCTTCCATTTTGACATAATGTTGTAATTTCATAGTGTTTGTAATCTCACGGTTTAGCCCACCTACAAATCGAGCCATAATAGTCTCTCAATCCTCCATAATATTTACATGTGTAATGGCTATTTCCATTTCTTTGTAGTACTCATCAACTGAATTTGTACCTAGAGTTAGCCTTTGTAGCTTTTGATGTAAATCTCGATAGTAGTGACTAGGAACAAACCTTTTCTTCATAATGACCTTAATCATATCCCAAGTTATAATAAGATGATTTCCATTCTTCCTTCTCTCCAAAACCATGCGATCCCACTAAACAATAGCATAGGATATGAACTTCGTAGTAGCAAACTTCACCCTTTTTGCCTCCGAATACTCATAACAATCAAATACAAATTCATACTTTCTCTCCTATTCAAGATACAAATCGGGATCATTTTTACATTCGAATGGAGGGATGGTTAGTTTAAGCCCATTGTTGTTTTTTTCATAACCATTATGCACCATTCGGTCGTTCAAAACCATGGCCCTAATAACGAGGATCACTACCTCAACCTCCATGTCCACCACGACCTCTATTACTATGGCCACCTCTTGTATTTTGCACCAAAGATGCACGATCATCAAACTTTTCCTTAAATAGCTCTTCATCTTATACTTGCCTTCTAGCTTTGGGGGTAGTCCGAATTGTCTCATTTTGCCTTAACTCCATGTCTTCCATTCGATTGTTAATATCCCTCATAAAGTGCATTAATTGACCTTCGTGAGCTCGGGTCGCTTCTTGAATCAATTTATTTTCAACTCTCCCCTCCACTTCATCTCCAATCACTTCTTTTCCTTATCTTCCATTATTAGAAACCCGTAAAGTTAGAGAAAACAAAAAAAAAATAAAAGTAATTGATAGAACCTCACAATAGCACTCCCTCATGTGTTTGCACTCATATAAGATGTCACTCAACACTCGTGTTTACACTCTTTATGGCTTTTGCTATAATAATCTTACCTTGCCTTTTATCACTCTTATTTTCTCCACTGAGCTTTTAATCAAACTAATTAGACAAATCTAGAAGTACAACACAAATGGTAGGACTAAACTTAAATTCTTGAGACTAAATCAAGGTGATTTTGTAGGCTTCTCCACTCTCTTCTCAATGCATTCAATTTGGCTTCAAATCATTAGATTCTATAAGTTCCACGTGTGTTTGGACTCGTTTAGGCTCAATAACATCCCATTTCTTGCAATTTGTTCAAAGATCACATCTTGCTCACGTTCCGCAAATCTAATTCAATTCAGAATTTTAACTTTTTTTGGCCAAAACGTTCGATAAAGAAAACACACTTCTCTTTTATAACCAATCAAATTGCTCCTTTTTTTCTTTTTTCTTTCCTTTTTCTCTCTCATTTTTTTTATAATTAGAAGAACAACACAACAATTTTTTTGGTAGCTTAGGACATTTTCTTTCGGATTTGGAACAAGAAGAAAAAAATTTCAAAATTGAATGACAAGACAAACTTGGATTAAACAAGACAACAACGAATGAGACACGATAGGACAAAAACAAATCGGACTTCCTTTAGCTTTTTTTATTTTCAATTGAAACCGACTCTATTTGAACTAAACCAAAATTAACTACAAAGACATGAAATAGAACAAAGATAATGAAAAACAACCCGATTTATATTAAGAAAATGAAGTTAACTACAAATTAGACTTTTCTTTTCTTTTTTTATATAAGACTTAATTTATCAAGCAAAGGAACATGAGACTCAAACAAGAAAAGCTATGGCAGAATAACAAGAAAGACGCAATAAAGAAAACAAGACAAATACGAAATAAAAGACATAAAGACTATGGATAACTAACTTGACTTTGCATAACCTAGGCTTTGATACTAAGCGATGTGAACCCTACGTATAAAAATGAGAGACCCAAACACCTTTATTATTAGACACCCCTAATAAAGCTCTTAATTAGGTTATAATAAGTGAAACTTGACCGTTGCCTACGAGGAGGCGAGAACCAAAACTATGATATAATGGAGTGAAGAACGCCAACCCCTACGGTGTCTCCGAACTTATTATCCTCCATAGGGTGTGGTATTCTTCACTCCATTGCATCAAACCTTCGGTTCTTGCCTCCTTATAGGCAACGCGTTGGGTTCCACTTACTATAACTTGATTGGGCGTGTTCTTAAGGGTGTCTAACGACAAAGGTGTTTGGTTCTCTTGTTTTTATATGTGAGGTTCACATCATTTAATATCATATAAAATTAGATAGTTGAGATTGAGTTTCATGTAAAAAGCTTAAGCTTTATAGTGGATCTCCTTCTTAACTTACTTGCAACCCATTTTTACTGAGTTATTGGGCATTTTTGAAGCTTTGATACTATATAGAATTAAATAATTAAAATTGGTTCCGTTCAAAAAATTTAAACCCTTTGATACGTGATCCCTTTTTAACTTTATATATCGTTTATTTTTAGTTTAACTATATAATGTAAGATCTATTTTCTAACAGTAGTCAATGGAGTTATTCGTCATAATACAACCTTTTTATCTGTTATGCTAATTAATAACTACTAATATTAACCTTTTAATGTCTAACAAGTTACGTAAATCTTATATATGATTAGGGAAAAAAAACAAAAGTTTCGTTTATTTCCATAAACTTGAAACCTAAAATGGAATTAATTCTTACATTATATGCTTAATATATATACACTTCACTGTCATTGCAATTTCTTATTAAAAAAATCATTGCTCTCTAAAAATTCTATAAATATACACAGCGGTAGTGGTCCATATTTGAAACTAAGTATTTCAAATATTGTAATCTGGAGCAAAATCTTATAGGAAATGAAGAAAGCAGAGATGATGTTTATCCCTTTACCTGCTATTGGCCATATTGTAGCGGCGGTGGAGACTGCTAAGCTCCTTGTTGAACGTGATGATCGAGTTTCCACATCTGTCCTTCTAATCAACCCAGCTCTTCACTCAAATACCACCAAATACATTGAGTCACTCGCTACATCAACTCTGCCCAACCGTATGCGAGTCATCGATTTGCCCACTCTGGAGCCCAATTCAAGGAATGATAATTGGCTAACTTATTCGATTGAAGGCCAGAAGCCCCATATCAAAGCATATGTCACCAAGATCAAGACTCAGTCTGAGTTGAGCCCTGACTCTCCTCGACTTGCTGGGTTTGTTTTTGATATGCTTTGCACAGGATTGAAAGACATGGCAAATGAATTTGGTGTTCCTTGGTACGTTTTCTCTGCCTCAAGTGCTGCTTTTTTCGGTTGCATGTTACATTTACTGTACCTTCACGACGAACAAAAGGTTGAGCTCTCTGAGTTCAAAAACTCGGATGTTGAGCTGGAAATTCCTAGTTTGGTGAACCGGATTCCTGCTAGACTTCTGCCTTCTATGGTGCTTGATAAAGAATCCAGCACAACTTTTCTCGACCCTGCAAGAATGTGGAAGGAAGCTACGGGTATTTTAATGAATACATTTATAGAGTTGGAATCTCATGTGGTTAACTCCTTTTCTAATGACAGAAGGATCCCTCCTGTGTATCCAGTTGGGCCTATTGTTCGATCAGAAGGGAAAGGCCATGATAAGGGATTAGATCAAAGGGAGGATTATATGGCCATCAAACAATGGCTTGATGATCAACCTCCATCATCAGTAGTCTTCTTATGCTTTGGGAGTTGGGGAAGTTTCGATGTGAATCAGATAAAAGAGATTGCACATGCACTCGAGCGTGGTGGATATCGATTTTTGTGGTCTCTACGTAAGCAGCAACCACAAGGTAACGTTGAACAATCGACCAACTACGAGAGTTTTCAAGAAATTTTATCCGAAAAGTTCTTAAATCGGACAGTTGACACCAGAAAGGTAGTTGGATGGGTTCCTCAGGTTGATATCTTGGCTCATCCATCAGTGGGAGGTTTTGTATCACACTGCGGATGGAATTCTACACTAGAAAGCATATGGTTTGGTGTTCCGATCGATACGTGGCCAGTATATGCAGAGCAACAATTAAATGCTTTTCAAATAGTTATCGAGTTAGGATTTGGAGTGGAAATTAAAATGGATTACAAAAATAGCTATAACATGGACGATGTTGAAATTGTGCGTGCTGAGGAAATAGAGAAAGGAATAAGGTGTTTGATGAATCTTGACAAGGAAAAAAGAGAGAACTTGAAGGAAATGAGTGAAAAGAGTAGAAAAGCTTTGATGAATGGTGGATCTTCGTACGCTTCCCTGGATCGTTGGATTCGAGAAATAGTGAACAACATACCATGAATAAAATGTATTTTTTTACCACTTGTTGGCGTAGCTGTCTCTCTCTAATTCATGCATTTGTCCAACGTTTTTTATTGTTAGCTAACCATGTATTCAGTTTGCCGATAATGTTGGGCTCCGTCACTATCAAGAAACCTTGTTATACATACATAAGAGAAAAGGCAAAATTAACTTATACGGAAAACAATAACGAAACAATCTGCCTCAAGATTTGAATTATCTAAAAGAAATTATTGGCATATTCACAAAAATATAGTTTCATTCAAAAAAATATTTGATTTATTTGATTAAAAATCAAAATACATCGTGTAAATGCTATGATGCAACCTTTAAACTGATATTTTTTATGCTGGATGAATGAAATATATTCGAATCTCATAAAAATTTTGAAAAAAAAAATCGTCTTTTTCAAGAGGTAAAAATGTTTTATGTATTTAACGCACGATGATACCTCTTGCACAAGGAGACTCCATTTTCTAGTGGTTGAGGGACCATGCAAGGACCATGCGTGGCTTTCCAGCAATAATTACAGACCCCAGGACAGCAAAGCAATGACCTCACGAATTAGCAAGATTAAGTAACAAGATGAAAGACTCTAATGTTCCAGACATCTCTTATAGCCACAAAAAGTAGTACTGTTTGCAAACTCGTAGAAACCTATTGCAAAATGAAGAAAGCTGAGCTAGTCTTCATTCCTGCACCAATTATAAGCCATGCTGCATCCACAGTAGAGGTAGCTAAGCTCCTTGTAGACCGTGATGAGAGGCTTTCGATCACCTTCCTCATCATGAAAACAACTTTAAACACCAAGATCTACCGTAGCTACATGGATTCAGTGAGTGCAGCCTGCAGTCGTATCCGGTTCATTGACTTGCCTGAAGCTGAGGTTGATCCAAACCTCCCCACCAGGCTTTTCAATTCTTTGATCGAAGCCCATAAACCTCATGTCAGAGAAGAGGTCTCTAAGCTTGTGACTCAGTCCGAGTTAAGCCCTGACTCGACTCGACTTGCTGGGTTTGTTCTTGATATGTTTTGTACATCAATGATAGATGTGGCCAATGAATTTGGTGTTCCCTCCTATCTTTTCTTTCCATCTGCTGCAGCTTTTCTTGGTCTTCAGTTTTATATTCAGAATCTCCATGATGAGCAGAAAGTTGACCCGACCGAGTTCAATGACTCGGATGTTGAGTTGGTCGTGCCGTGTTTGGCGAACCCTTTTCCTGCGAAGGTTTTACCTACTGCGATGCTTAACAAAGATTGGCTGCCTCTTTCACTTTGCTTGATTAGAAGGTTCAAAGAAACTAAAGGTATTATGGTAAATACATTTTACGAGTTAGAATCTCATGCGATTAACTCCTTCTCGAAAGGTAAAGCTCCGCCTGTTTATCCAGTGGGTCCCATTTTAAACCTCAGTCGTGATGAACGTTCAGATGGAAATAATGCTCATAAAGACATCATGCAATGGCTTGATCATCAACCTTCATCTTCAGTAGTCTTCCTGTGTTTTGGGAGCATGGGAAATTTCGGTATGGAGCAAGTGAAAGAGATCGCCTGTGGATTAGAGCAGAGTGGATATCGATTCTTATGGTCTCTACGTCAACCTCCACCGAAGGGTAAGAGAGAAGCTCCAAGTGATTACGTAAATCCTCAAGAAGTCTTACCTGAAGGATTCTTTGATCGGACAGCTAAGATTGGAAAAGTGATCGGATGGGCTCCGCAAATAGATATCTTGGCTCATCCATCTGTGAGGGGATTTGTATCACACTGCGGATGGAATTCTATATTGGAAAGCATATGGTTTGGGGTTCCAATCGCTACATGGCCAATGTTTGCTGAGCAGCAATTTAATGCTTTTCAAATGATTGTTGAGTTAGGCTTAGCGGTGGAAATTAGAATGAATTACAGTAAAAGAATTTTATATGGAAGATTGTGAAATTGTTAGTGCTGAGGATATTGAGAAAGGAATAAAGTGTTTAATGGAGCTTGACAATGAGAAAAAGGGGAAGTTGAAGGAAATGAGTGAAAAGAGTAGGAAGGCTTTGATGAATGGTGGATCTTCATACATTTGGTTAGGTCGTTTGATTCAAAATGTGATAGACAACATGTCATGAATAAAATATATTTTTCTTTCTTATTATCTATGACTAAAAATGTACTTCTTTTTTGCATGATGTAATCGACAACATTAGTACTTGTTATAGCTATGTTCGGAAAGAACTAAATTATTTTAATTTAATACTTATATTATAATGTAAATTTATTAAAATACATGAAATCAAAGATAATTTTAAAAAAAAAATCTTAAAATTTTTTAATCAAAATCTTGTATTTAATTGATTACTTATTATGTTTTTTTCTATAAATTCTCAACTAAAAAAACATGATTTGTAACAATCTAAATAGAAAATTGAATCTAGAATTCTAATTTTTTTTTTTAAGAAAAACCTAATATCTTTTCCATATGATTATATAAAAAAATAAAGCAATAATTGATATAAAATTTTATTAAAAATTAACAAATAAAATTATATTTTTTTATTCTTATTTAATGCTTAAGAAAAGATATATATATATATATATATATGAATTTGAAATTAGTATACTGGAACTTCAATACATTTTCATTACATAATATCCCATGTAAAATTCATTTTTTAATTGATTATTTTAAAGAATATATATACTTTTTTAAAATTTAAGACAAAGTATCTGAAATACATTTCTAATCTTTAGTAATTGTAACACTAGTCTTGTTGAAAAATCAAAAGAGTTTATCATATAAATTATAATAATGTATTTTTTTTAAAATCACATTGTAAAATTTTATTCAAAAATCCATACATAAAAAAAAATAATTTTTAACAAATAAATTATATAAAAAAATTTAATTGGATGTTTCCATAAAAAATAACAAATTGAAGAAATCATCTTAAATTTTGAAAGAAAAGAAAAAAAAAGAAATGACAAATCGATGCAAATATATTTTTTAATTGACAGGTTCATGTGAAAATAAGGGATTATTTTTTTTCATAAATTTAGCACAAAACCAATAATAATAAAAAGTTAAAACAGAGAAATTAGAAGTTTGAATGAATGATTCTTTTGTGTATATTATTTAGAGTTTAACTCTCTTTTTTATAGTGTTACAAGTATTGAGTTCGTAAGATTCCAGATAATCATAGCCTTAGAATTCCTACCTAAACACAAGTATAATTTGAAGAGATATCTACATTGAGAAGCCGTAGATATTGCTGAAGGAGAACAAGTTGTAGAAAAAAGAAAGGACATTTAGCATAAGAGTCTCTTATTTTAACAAAAAACAATAAAAAATTACTGAAAAAATATAAAAGAAAGGGAAAAAAACCAATCTGCCAGGGCCTTGGGCCTGTAGAAGCAGGCTCGACTGGCTTGGGTTGGCAACATATTAGAAGGGAGAGAGAGAGAGAAGTAAACGACACATCTTCTGCTACAACTTACTTAGGTTCGCTAGAAAAACAGAATTTTAGGTTTTTCAATCCAAAAACACAACATGTGCATCATTTTTGCTCTAAGTTACTTTAAAATACTGAAATGATGTCAAGAAACTTGTTTGGAATCTTAAAAATTGATTATAATGCATACTAGAAAAAGTCATAATGTTTCGATATTCTGATCTACATCCTTTGATCATTTTTTGTCTTAAAACTACAATAAACAAACCCAACTTTCTATGATAAACAAATTGAAAGGAATATCACAAGCTAAAGTAGACAGAATAAGCTTGATGGGCTCTCTGTCTCTCTCTCCTCTTTCTCTCTCTTCATTTCTCTTTTTTTTTTTTCACTTAGAGTCACAAATGAAGCTATGGATATTAACGAAGTGTGTCACAAATGAAGCTATGGATATATATTTTTTTTTGTAACATTAGGGACTAAAAGTGTAAAAACTCATATATAATTACCCTAAAATAGCCCTAAAATCGCAGAACACTAGGTGGTAAGTTCACAGTGCCACTAAATCAACAGCTATAGCGAATTGAACAATAAACCCTCCAAATGTTTTAGGTTTTTTTTTTTTTTGCAATGTCATTCTCGATTTATTGATCTAATCTGATTGTCTGTTTCTGTATAATTACATAGATAATAATGGAGGTGATGAGTATATTGGACATGTCTTTCAAACTCTTATTAGAAATTCATTAGGATTGGAAGCAATGAGTAGATAAATCCAGCGATAATCTTGTCTGCTCGAGTAAAGATATGATTTTACCATTCAAGAATCCATCAAAATTAACCAATAGTGACGACGGCCTTTGTATTGAGAAATTTTGTGGTACTTAAAGAATAAAGAGATAAGACAAAATAAAGAGAAAGAAAAAAATGTATTTAAGTAAAAATATTCTTGTCATTTTTTGATTGGACAGAATGTGATTCTTTTTTTTTTTTTTTTAGTCTCTTTTTTTAAAGTGATTTCATGGAGTTAGAATTAATAATTACTCTTGAAGTAAAATTTTTCTATTTTATTTTATTTTGTGAACGTGGAAAGTTTTCATGCCTCTCTTTTTTAATTGGTATACGGAAACTGTTAGTGAGTGTACTTTCAGTTTTTCGTATAACTAAGAGAATTTTAGCTTTCTTAACGCTTAACTGATAAAGAAAGCTGATTTTTCTATTTCTCTTATTTCAATAATACAATTTCTTTACTCGATTTACAGTACCTCTGACGTTTGAGAGCGGGAATTGCCTCATAGCGGAAGCCGAATGGACAGTAACTGACAAAGAAGGCCACCATCAGAAGCAGACCAACCTTCTTGCTCATCATTTCCATGATATCTCCAGCAGCTCTCTCAATCAAATGAAGTACTTTAGTTTGTGTTATATATTCAACGCTTGATGATACCTCTTGCACAAGGAGACTCCATTTTCTAGTGGTTGTGGGACCATGCAAGGACCATGCGTGGCTTTCCAGCAATAATTACAGACCCCAGGACAGCAAAGCAATGACCTCACGAATTAGCAAGATTAAGCAACAAAATGAAAGACTCTAATGGTCGGGACATCTCTTATAGCCACAAAAAGTAGTGCTGTTTGCAAACTCGTGGAAACCTATTGCAAAATGAAGAAAGCTGAGCTTAGTCTTCATTCCAGCACCATTTATAAGCCATGCTGCATCCACAGTAGAGGTAGCTAAGCTCCTTGTAGACCGTGATGAGAGGCTTTCGATCACTTTCCTCATCATGAAAACAACTTTAAACACCAAGATTTATCGTAGCTACATGGATTCAGTGAGTGGAGCCTGCAGTCGTATCCGGTTCATTGACTTGCCTGAAGCTGAGGTTGATCCAAACCTACCCATCAGGTTACTCAATTCTTTGATTGAAGCCCATAAGCCTTATGTGAAAGAAGAAATTTCTAAGCTTGTGATTCAGTCCGAGTTAAGTCCTGACTCGCCTCGACTTGCTGGGTTTGTCCTTGACATGTTTTGTACATCAATGATAGATGTGGCCAATGAATTTGGTGTCCCCTCTTATATTTTCTTTGCATCTGCTGCAGCTTTTCTTGGTCTTGAGTTTTATATTCAGAATCTCCATGACGAACAGAAAGTTGACCCCACTGAGTTCAAGGACTCGGATGCTGAGTTGGTCCTTCCGTGTTTGGCGAACCCCTTGCCTGCGAAGGTGTTACCTTTTTCGTTGTTTGACAGAGACCGGCTGCCTGTTTTACTTCGCCTGGTTAGAAGGTACAAAGAAACCAAGGTTATTATATTAAATACATTTTACGAGTTGGAATCTCATGCGATTAGCTCCTTCTCGAATGGTAAAGCTCCGCCTGTTTATCCAGTGGGTCCCATCTTAAACCTCAATCGTGATGAACGTTCAGATAGAAATGATGCTTATAAAGACATCATGCAATGGCTTGATCATCAACCTTCATCTTCAGTAGTCTTCCTGTGTTTTGGGAGCATGGGAAATTTCGGTATGGAGCAAGTGAGAGAGATCGCCTGTGGATTAGAACAGAGTGGATATCCATTCTTATGGTCCCTACGTCAACCTCCACCAAAGGGTAAGATAGAAGCTCCAAGTGATTACGTGAATCCTCAAGAAGTCTTACCTGAAGGATTCTTAGATCGGACGGCCAAGATTGGAAAAGTGATCGGATGGGCTCCACAAGTAGATATCTTGGCTCATCCATCTGTGAGGGGATTTGTATCACACTGCGGATGGAATTCTATATTGGAAAGCATATGGTTTGGGGTTCCAATCGCTACATGGCCAATGTTTGCTGAGCAACAATTTAATGCTTTTCAAATGATTGTTGAGTTAGGATTGGCGGTGGAAATTAAAATGGATTACGTAAAACAGTTTAATATGGATGATTGTGAAATTGTTAGTGCTGAGGATATTAAGAAAGGAATAAAGTGTTTAATGGAGCTTGACGATGAGAAAAGGGGGAAGTTGAAGGAAATGAGTGGAAAGAGTAGGAAGGCTTTGATGAATGGTGGATCTTCGTACATTTGGTTAGGTCGTTTGATTCAAGATATGATAGATAGCATGCCATGAATAAAATGTAATTTTATTTCCTATTATTTATGACTAAAAATGTACTTCCATTTTGCATTATATATTAGATGAGAAATTTTATAATACACAAGGAGTAATTAGTATCATGTATAGTAGTTACTCCATGTATCTATTTGAAGGAAAGAGATAAACAAAAAAAGGAGAGATAAAAGTAAAAAAAAAAAAGATCGAACATGAAAATCTTCTTATCACTTTTGGTAGGTCCAAATATAATTCAATATGTCTATCTTTATCCTCAAAATGGGTCCATGAATAAAATGTAATTTTATTTCCTATTATTTATGACTAAAAATGTACTTCCATTTTGCATTATGTATTAGATGAGAAATTTTATAATACATAAGGAATAACTAGTGACATATACTATAGTTACTCCATGGATTAAAGAAAGAGATAGACAAAAAAAAAAAAAAGAGAATTAAAAAAAAATTGAGCGAAAGTGAAAATCTTCTTATCACTTTTGGTAAGTCCAAATATAATTCAATATGTCTATCCGTCTTCTCAAAGTAGGTTCGTAAAGTAACTACCGTATATACCATTAGTTACTTCTTGTGTATTATAAAATTTCTCGTATTATAAAATGCTAATAAGATGTTGATTCTATGCTTGCTCGTTGATCCGACAAAACTAAATAATTTTAATTTGATATTCCCTTTTATATTAGGGATATACTAAAATATATCAAATTTAATGTAAAATTTTTTAAAAATAAAATCTTAAAACTTTTTAATCAAAAGCTTGTACTTAATTGATCATTTATTAAGTTTTTTTTATATAAATTTTCAACTAAAAAAATGATTTTTCATTTTTTATGAATTGATTCTTAAAGAAGAACTTACAACAATATAAATAGAAAATTGAATTCAGAATTTTTTTTCCTAAAAAAACCTTAATATTTTTTCCATAAGGTTGTATAAAAAAAAGATAAAAAAATAATTAATACAAAAAATTGTTTAAAAATTAACAAATAAAATTATATATTTTTTATTCTCATTTAATGCTTATGAAAAGATTATTTTTAAAGTTCGTGTGTGTGCGTATGTGTGTGTGTGTGTATTGAATAACAAAATAATCAATAATATAGGATTAAAAAAATATTTCAATTACCGAGCGACTATTTTAAAATATTATTTTAATATTTTAATTCGAAAGAAACTAAATTTAAAATATCCAAAAGAAAAATAATAATAGTTAATGGTTGGTTTTGTGTGTGTGGATATATAGTTAATTTCTAATAAAATTGAGATCTAACACACACACACACACACACACATCATGATTATACTTATTACGTTTAGAGTATGCAATATATATATATATATATATATATATATATATATATATATATATATATATATATATATATTAATTTAAGACAAAGTATCTAAATACATTTCTAATCTTTAGTAATTATAACACTAGTCTCATTTAAAAATCATAAGAATTTATTATATAAATTATATTAATGTATTTTAAAAAAAATCACATTCTAAAATTTTATTAAAAAATCCATACATAAAAAAAAATAAATCATATTTTTTAACAAATAAAATTATATAAAAAGTTAATTGGATTTTTCCATAAAAAATGACGAATTGAAGAAATCATCTTAAATTTTGAAAGCAAAAAAATAAGAAACGAGAAATCAAAGAAATATTTATATTTTTAATCAGCAAACTACATGTAAAAAAACAAAGGATTGTTTTTTTCATAAATTTAGCACAAAACCAATAATAATAAACAGTTAAAACAAAATTCTAATGTGTACCCAATACTACAAAAGGGGCACACGGAACAAGTTCATGTTGTTGAAAATTTTGATGACAGTCAATCAAGGCCTTATGACCTATTTTTCAACATATATTGGTTACACACAGCACTAATGTGTGTGACCTATATTGGTGTGGCCATAAAGGAGGAAATATTAGTAGAGGAAGCCATGTTATGGTGGGTATGGCAAGCAAAAAGGAAAGATCACAACTTAAAAACAGAAGAACGACAATGTTGCCTTTTGAGGCTCTAATACGGAATTAAAATAGAGAAACTAGAAGTGTGAATGAATGATTATTTTTGTGTATGTTATTCAGAGTTTAACTTTCCTTTTGTTACAAGTGCTGAGTTTGTAAGACTCTAGCTAATCATAGCCTTAGAGTTCCTATCTATACACAAGTATAATTTGAAAAGGTATCTACATTGAGAAGCCATAGATATTGCTGAAAGAGAACAATTCGTAGAAGAAGAAAGGAGATTTAGCATAAGAAGGAGACTCTTGTCTTAAAATATATATATATATGTATATATATTGAAAAAAGAAAGAAAAAAAAACCAAGCTACTAGCGCCTTGGGCCTGTAGAAGCAGATTCGATTGTCTTGGGTTGACAACATATCAAAATGAAAAGAGAGAGAGAGAGAGTATTAGTAAAGGATACCTTGTCTGCTATAATTTTCAAAAAACTTGAGTTTGCTAGAAAAATATAGTTTTGGGTTTTTCATTCCAAAACCTCAATCTCTATATCATTTTTGCTCTAAAATACCAAAATAAGGTTGAGAAACATGTTTCGAACCTTAAAATTTATTATAATGTATATAAAAGAAAAATAAATTAAATTAAAAAACTCATAATCTTTTGAGATTCTGATCTACCTTCTTCAATTATTTTATACCTTAAAACCATAATAAACAAATTCAACTCTTCAAAATAAACAAATTGGATGGAATATAACTAGCCAAAGTAGAAGGAATAAGCCTGATGTGTGCTCTCACTCTACTCCTTCTCTCTTTTCATTTTGTCTCTCTTCTCTGCACCCAGTGAATAAAGTGCGTCATAAATGAAGTTGTGGATCAAATGTTTTTGGTAACATTAGGGACTAAAAGTGTAAAAACTCGTATATAATTGCCTAAAAATAGCGCTAAAATCACAAAACGCCGGGGGTTAAGTCCACAATGCCATTGAGTATACAGCTATAGTGAATTCAACAGTAAACCCTCCAAATGTTTTTAGTCTGTTTTTTTTTTTTTTTTAATCTCATCCTCAATTTGTCGATCTAGTGTTGTCTGTTTTGTATAATTACATAGATAATGATGGAACTGTGGAGTATATTGGACATGTCTTTCAAACTTTTTATTAGAAATTCATTAAGATTGTGTAGGAACTGTCACACAAATCAATGATTAGATAAATCCTGCGGTTGACTACTAGAGTCAAAATATGATTTTATCATTCAAAAATCCACCAAAATTAACCAATAGTGATGGAGGCTTTTTTATTGAGAAATTTTATGATACGTAAAAAGTAAATACCAATACTTTATAAAATATAGAAATAAATACAATGAAAAAAAATAAATAAGAGAGAGAAAAAATAACTTAACTAAAAATATTTTTATCATTTTTTATGCATCAAAATGTGATTTTCTCTCTTTGATTAGCCTCTCTCCTCGAAATGGCTTCATGCAGTTAGAATTAATAATTACCCTCCCAGTAAAAATTTTCTATTTTATTTTATTTGGTGATCGTAGAAAGTTTTCACGTCTCTCTCTTTTTATGGGCATATGGAAACTATCACAGAGGAGTGTACTTTCAGCTTTTCGTATAACTAATTAAGAGAATTTAGTTTTCGTAACTGTTAACTGATAAAGGAAGCAGATATTATAGAATGATTTTTTCTCCATAGAGATAAAATCTCCCAGTATTGGAAGTCAAAATAATACAATATTATTTGAAATTAAATGACTAGTCTAGGTTTATATGACGAAAAGTATTGGAGGCTTATCATTTCCAGTTTAAAGTCCAATGTGTGAGGGATTTAGTCTTGGAGCATAAGAATCAACCATGAGATACTCTAATGCCGTCAGAGAAAAAAAATCTGCCAAGAACCATCTAAATCTTTTCAGTATATAATAATTGCTAGCATTAAGATTATAAGAAAATGAAGAAATAGCGTTAAGATTCGTTAACAAAATGAAAAACTTTAATGATCCAGACATCTCTTATAGCCACAAAAAGTGGTGCTGTTTGCAAAACCATTGAAACCTGTGGCAAAATGAAGAAAGCTGAGCTAGTCTTCATTCCAGCACCAATTATAAGCCACCTAGTATCCACAGTACGGGTAGCAAAGCTTCTTGCAGACCGTGATGAGAGGCTTTCGATCACCTTCCTCATCATGAGACTACTTGCTGACTCTCAGATTGATAGCTACATCGATTCAGAGAGTGCAGCCTGCAATCTTATCCGGTTCATTGACTTGCCTAAACATGAGCCTGATCCAAACCAACCCAGCAGGTTTCTCAACTTTTTGATTGAAGCCCATAAACCTCAGGTTAAAGAAGAAATCTCTAAGCTTGTCATTCGGTCCGAGTTAAGCCATGACTGGCCTCGACTTGCTGGTATTGTTCTTGATATGCTTTGTATACCAATGATAGATGTGGCCAATGAATTTGGTCTTCCCTCTTATATTTTCTTTACATCAGGTGCAGCTTTTCTTGGTCTTGATTTTTATATTCAGGATCTCCATGATGAGCAGAAAGTTGATCCTACTGAGTTCAAGGACTCGGATGTTGAGTTGGTCATGCCGTGTTTGGCGAACCCCTTGCCTGCGAAGGTTTTACCTTTCTCGTTGTTCGAGAAGGATGTGCTGCCTCTTTCACTTCGCATGATTAGAAGGGTGAAAGAAACTAAAGGTATTATGGTAAATACATTTTACGAGTTGGAATCTCATGCTATTAACTCCTTCTCGAATGGTAATGCTCCTCCTGTTTATCCAGTTGGTCCCATTTTAAACCTAATTCGTGATGAACGTTCAGATGGAAATGACGCTTATAAAGATATCATGCAATGGCTTGATCACCAACCTTCATCTTCAGTAGTCTTCCTGTGTTTTGGGAGCATGGGAAATTTCGGTATGGAGCAAGTGAGAGAGATCGCCTCTAGATTAGAGCAGAGTGGATATCGATTCTTATAGTCCCTACGTCAACCTCCACCGAAGGGTAAGAGAGAAGCTCCAAGTGATTATGTGAATCCTGAAGAAGTCTTACCTGAAGGATTCTTAGATCGGACAGCTCAGATTGGAAAAGTGATCGGATGGGTTCCACAAGTAGATATCTTAGCTCATCCATCTGTGAGGGGATTTGTATCACACTGTGGATGGAATTCTATATTGGAAAGCATATGGTTTGGTGTTCCAATTGCTACATGGCCCATATTTGCTGAGCAACAATTTAATGCTTTTCAAATGATTGTTGAGTTTGGCTTAGCGGAAGAAATTAGAATGAATAACAGAAAAGAATTTAATATGGACGATTTTGAAATTGTTAATGCTGAGGATATTGAGAAAGGAATAAAGTGTTTAATGGAGCTTGACAATGACAAAAGGGGGAAGTTGAAGGAAATGAGTGAAAAGAGTAGAAAGGCTTTGATGAATGGTGGATCTTCGTACACCTGGTTAGGTCATTTGACTCAAGATATGATAGATAACATGTCATGAATAAAATGTACTTCTAAACCAGGTGCTTTAAGAAACCACTCTAGATGTTGGCATATTAGTGTATTGAAGATTAGACCAAAACTAATCTTGGATATTTAAGATAAAAATGCTATGATTAACCTGTGGTGTACCATAAGACCACCAAATAGATTGAGCCATTGAACAACCTCTACGAACATGAAGAATTGTTTCAGAAACAATATGAAAATACGGGAACAAAAATTCAGTTGAATGATGCATATGTAGTCTCTATTCATTGGTCAACAGCCTTCCATGTATGGCCAACCATAGGAAAGTTCAAATCTTTTGAAGACCTTTCCAATGCCAAACTGTGTCCTATTTGTCCATCGAAACAGTTGTGGACGAAGCAAGAATAGACATATAAGCTGATTTGGTGGAGAATATACTAGTGCTTGTGTGATTCCAACATGACATGCCATTAGTATCATTTTCTAAATAAGAAACCATATCTTCAATTCTTAAACAAATAGCATTAAACAAAAATAACATGATCTCATCTCACATCTATTATCCATTAAGAGTGATATAGTCTTTAATATAATGATTTAACACGTCATTCATAATGCTCGAATTGCATAATCACATAAAAGGTCCAAGCCAAGCACCTAAGTATGTACCCAAAATCTAATTCAAATGTCATTGTCGATTGACTAACCAATCCTATCACACACTTGCCGCCATACCCGAGATAGACTTATCCATAGATTAGAAGAACCATTACGAGAGATGGATGTAGGTATCACCTAAGTAGAGATTTTATACTTATTACACAAAATATATACCCAAAGAGAATAATTACCCAAGATAATTTCCCACCTAATCTTTATAAATAAGACAATATTCACATCTACTAACTTTCTCAATCCAAAGCCTTCATCCCTCTTTGGTCAACGAGACCCCATCCTAAGAAATTAGATGAATTTTTTGTTGAATATCAAAGCTACCTTAAACAAAATTATGGAAAACTTTCTTAATGGCATTGACAATAATAGTAGGTAACTTAATAGTCTACATACCGTAAATAGGAATGGTTAACAAAATCGATTGATTTAAGGTTACTCTACCCACAAGAGATGGTTGAATTAACTCGCCAATCAAAAATTCTCCTTCTAACCTTACTTACCACATGCTCATATATGACTATATTAACCCTTCTATGATGGAAAGGAACACCCAAATAACGATCCAAATCCTTAGTTAAATGAAAGCCAAAAAATTGATTATGAATCGTAGCCTTGCCATTTAGAATATTTATACTATAAAACATTCTTGTTTTAGACACATTAACTTTCTAACCAATAACATAACTGAACTTATAAAGAACATATATTATAAACCTTAGTTGTTTAGTGTTAGCTTCAACATACGGGATTAAATCATAAGTAAAAAATAGATGAGAGGTAGGTAGTCATCTTTGTTCAAAAAATTGGCTTCCTCTATTGAATACATCTAGAAGTTTTGAAAGGGCTTGTAGTAACATCATTAAAGGTAATTTGAAGGGAGGTAGAAAATTTGCACTTTATAATAGTCGAACACAAGTGATGACGTACTTCCACATCAATCAAGGTGTTTAGTATAAAATTCCATATAAGTTTACCATAAGCTTTCTCAAGGTCTATTTTTATAGCCATCCATCTTTTTTTACTCATTTTACCTATCATTGAGTGGAGGGCCTCCTAAGCAATAATCATGTTATCATTTATTCTTTTGCCTAGGACATAACTAACTCGAGTAAGTGTAATGATTGAAGGAATGTTAGTTTTTAACTAGTTAACAATAACTTTCATGAGTACCTTATAAGCAACATTACATAGGCCGCTAGGGTGGAATTCAACAACTATCTTTCGTACCTTTACTTTCAAAATCAAGACTAGCTTAGCTCTAGTAAGAGAAGGTTTCCAAACTTCTTATTGGAAAACTTGTTAAATGAAATGGCAGAGCAACAAATTAACCGTCAATCATTGAGTCCGGTAGAAAACAATATGTAACCCATAAACTCCTAGAACTTTATAAGGCTTCACGTCAAAAAGGGCCCTTCGGCTTCATCATTAGACACCATTGAGTTAAGAGGTTCTATAAGAGCATAAGGAAACCGAGAGAATTGCCCATAAGATAAAGAATCAATGCTTGTAACCCTTTCTTTTAAAAATAAATTTTTATATTATTGAAGAATCAAAGCTTGCAACTATTGGTCCTCACTACACTAATTTTCATTCTCATCATATAATCTCCCTACCCTTATAGTTTGTTTTAATCAATGTTATGGTGTGATAATACTTAGTATTTCTATCACCATAATATGATTTATGAGGGTGCCTTTTTGTTTTCATTCGGCTACTTGTTTGAAGTCAACTCATTAACCGTATGGCTTATTTTCTTGTAAATTCTTTGAACCTATTTTTTATTTTATTGTATTCTTAGAAGCTCTATAGTTATAGCTTGTGGGTATTATATTAGAATTTGGTCTTGGATATTGATTTGAGAATAATATTGAATTATCAATTATGTTGAAGTTATAAAATGATTATTAATTTAGGATAATACAAATTGAAATGATATTTAAGATGATATCGATTTGAGGATTTAAGTTTAGTTATTTGAGAATTGCTTGAATTGAGGTGGGTCTCATGGTTTTCTTGATTCTCATACCAATCATGGCCCACTTTCGGGGTCGTGAAAAAGTTAGTATCGGAGCATAGGTTTTTACGAGTCTAGGATAATTGTAGAACATAGGTTTTTACGGTCTAGGATAAGCTGTAGAACATAAGTTTTATTCTAATCTATGTCTTGGCTTCGAGCTACGTGCGATATAAGCTAAGTTATACATTAGCTTCTATATTTATAATCTTAAATTACGTGCGAGAAGTAAGGTTTTATTATGCACGATCCCTCACATGGTTTACTTAATTTTGACATACGACGGTGTTAATTTTTCCCTTCACCCTATGTCTCTTAGCTACTACTTATGTGGCTTTTTTTTCTTAAACAACTTTATAATGACATATGGTTGTGTCACTTTCATCCTCTAACTCGTGCCTTTAAGCTACCGCTCATATGACTTTTCTTTCTTTTTTGAACAATTTTATGGTGACACATGGTCGTGTCATATTTGTTCTTCAACCCCTATCTCTAAGCTTACGCCCGAGTCTTTTCCTCTATGGAAAAAACACACACAAGTGTGTCATTTTTCTGAACAAATAGCATTTGATCCTTCTGCCCATATGTCTCTTCGTGCTAAACATACACACGGACGTGTTAATTTTTTATGCAAATCGTGTTTAATCTTTCTCGCCCATGTCCAATATTTGGAAAAGCTAATCGCCACTCGGTATTGTAGACTAATCGATCAATTTTTTTCTTGAACACTACCTTTTTGCCACATGTATAAAGGACCCATGAACCCTAATCAAGTAAACCATAATCATTCATACAAGAAGAGAAAGCATTATTGTTGTAGTTGTTAAAACCATACCTCCTTTTTTTCTTTTACGTACAACATAGCATTGAAATCCGCCCCTAACACCCAAGGCTCAAAAAATTATCTCGCAATTCTTCTTAATTTATCCCAAAGATATGTCCAAACATGTTCTTTTGGGCTATCATAAATTGTTGTCAATAAAAAAATGACTCATCCTTTATTTGATTCTTATATGTATGAGTTGTTTATGGTTATCTAAACACTTTTACAATAACACTCATATCGGACTATGATAGCTAAATATCTCTAAAAAAAACATTACCCTCTATCATATGGGAGTTAGTAAAACATAGTTGTTAAAAGCAAGCAATTACTATTTTTTGGCTAAAAAATGGATAAGATTTTGTTTATGTTGTCTAACATAATCACAACAAAACTACTCTAAATAGCTTATGCATAGCACCTTAGTAGTTTCAAAACATAATCTTCATTATCATTATTAAAAACAAATATACAAAGGACGGATCTAAACCTTAGGAGTTGGACAAATAGAAAGTCTCCCTCCCTTCAATTATACAGGCTATGGGTTCATAAGCATGACCCATCTTTTTTTGAAGACAACTAACATTACTCGTTTTAATTTCAAACCTTTATTTTGATTGGAGTGAGACACTTTGTAAGTTGTTTTTGATATGGATTGTAGGTTTACTAGGTTCCTTCTTCTTCTTTTTTGTTGCTAGCAATAACCATGTCGAGCAACTTATCCACTCGCAATTGGCATATCACAATCAAACCCAACCCTAGAAATCTCTCTCTCCATTAGAGTCACATCTTCATCAATTGAATCATGCCTCATCGATAGATTCTTAGTGTCTTCCACTTCTAATTGATTAGGGTTATTGTTTTCATCGGTAAGAATCACCAATGTGTGCTTATTAGTTGTTTTCAAGTGACGGACGGGTTTGTAATTTTGTTACTCGGAGATGGTTTCAAATCCAATGAACTAGGCTTTAAAGGATAAGTCCATGTTCTTATGTGTAGGTCCGGCTTTGTTCTTGCTATGTTGGGTTTGGTTGGGACCATCAAGAATGGGTCATAATGAGCTAGTGTAAGGGTTTGTATCAAATCCATTTTTGTTTCATTGCATATTCACTAGAGTCTGTGATTGGGTAGCTCATAATAAATTGTACAAGTTTGGATCCATTTTCATGAAGTTGGGCTTGGCTAGGGCAAACAAGCTTCGATCTTGAAAGGCTAAGGTGAGGGTTGGCTATGATATGCATATCATTTTCCACTTTTTACAAAATAGAGAAATGACATCCTTTTCTTGAATTCTCCTTGATTGCCAAATCGATTTATTCACTCCGACCAATTTGTATCCTATAAAATCTTTCTTCTTTTTCTTCCTCTTCGACTTGGTCCGTGCATAAATCTAGGGCCCTAATTTCTCTCTATCAATATTAATGCTAGGGATATTGTGATCATCACTCATTAATTTCTCATTCAATGAAACATTCTTTGGACCTTACCCATACCACTTGCATGTTTAATTCTACTTTCGAAGCTTTAAAATCATGATCCCAAGGTTGAATTGTCAAGTAGTGACTAAGGATTGCCTAGGAACCCCTCTACCAAAGCATGTAAGTACTCAAGCCGATTAGAGAATTACACTAAAAAGCAATCATTCTCCATATCAATGACCCTAAATAGACTCATAATATTTCATATAGTCTTCAATCTAATACATAATGATTTATAAAAGCATGTAAGTACTCAAATTGATTAGAAAATTACACTAAAAAGTAATCATTCTCCATATCAATGACCCTAAATAGACTCGTAACATTCCATATAGTTTTCAATCTAATATTTAATGCTTTATAGCCTATAGTGCAACCAAAGACTTTAACCACCACTAAGAGTTCCCATGGTTTTTTGAGTCTATCCTTAAATAATGCCAACGGGTCAATAGATCTAACCCAATCTTTCTTTGTAATAGTGATGCCCCCTCCTCAACTTCAATGTTTTCAAGAGATTGCCATTCAAAGTTAGGTGATATCTCTAATTCTTTCCCATTCATCACTACTTTCTTAAAGTCTAGTCCATTCACCGAGCAAGGTTGAAGCATTATTAGGTTCAAGGTTAGGATTTTTGTCCGTAATCCGACCTCTTTAGTGTACTAATCAAATTCGGAGATGTTAGAGTTTTCACTCTCTCTAATGAAGAGAGAATTTTGGGAGCTAGAGGAAACCATAGAGAATTTTTTTTAAAAAAAAAAAAGAAATAAATAAAAATGATTGTGAGATAATTAGGTTTTGTTTGATTTTATATTCGTTATAGTTATGCCAACTCCCCTTTAAATAAGATTTTTTTTTAAATGAGGTATTTTTGGATCATATTGCACGTTAATAAAGACTAAAACGATTTTAAAATTAAAGCATTAATGAAGAGAATAAGTTTCTTTTCACACTCACTTGAGGATTCGAAATTAAAAAAAAAAAAAAATCTTTTTAATTACCAAGTGTCTCACTTGTAAAGTACAATGTTATTATTCATAACAATTTAGTACATTAATTATTTTTAAAAAAATGTTTGTTTGATTTATTTGTATATGATTTATGGAGATCTTTCTTGTTCCTTCAGCAAAGCGAGTGGAATAAAATTGTTGCACATTGTATCCAGGCACCAAATTTTCTATATATATTAAAAAAAAAAAGAAAAAAGTTAATGATAATAAAACAAAGCAGAGTTGCTGTTCCTCCTTCCAGGAGCTATGGACCATGCATAGAGCACAGTGGGTTCACAGTACACAATCACAGCCCAACACTTAGATGACTAAGCCCATCTTTTGAAATCCGTAATTTTGCTGCAATGCATGGCTTAATTTGACTCTAATTAGAAACCAAAGAGGGACCTTGGAAGTCGAGGGCTCTGCTTGTGCCACTATGTGGCCCATAAATGTTGGCCCATAAATTTTAGCCCACAAATGCTTGCCCATAAGTTTTGCATCTCTGGTGACAGCCCATAAAATTGTTAGATCGGTGAAGGCTTGACTTAACTCATTTCAGTTTGGAACCAAATTGGTTACTAAGGTTTGATTTAATTTAAGGTTGGCCCAGTTCCATTGGGAGTGGTATTGTGTGATTCTGAAACGAGCTTCTTCCAATCTCCTAGCCATAACTTTGAAATGGGTGAGTAAATTATAAATTATTTAATTTCATCTAGTTTATCAAAATAAATTAAATAATTCTTCTCGTTTTAATAATTAATTAATTAATTTTTATATTTTTAAATCTATTTATGACTTAATCTCTTTTTTAAAAAAATATTTTATTTTAAAAAATAGAAAAAAATAAGGAAAGATCAATGAAAAAGAAGGAGATATTTTTTGAAATAATATTAAATTAACCATTTTCAATACTGTGAAGAAATTACCGATTAATTAATTTTTTAAACAAAAAAAATTATTTAATTTGTTTTGCAAAACTAAAGGAACTTATAATTTACTTGAAATGGATGGAAAAATAAGTAAAAAATTTTTTTTTTTTTTTAGAAATAAAAATAAGAATATCGTTTGTTTGAGTAAGTTGTTTGATTTAATATGAGGTTGATTTATGCCAAGTCACCCTTAAATAAATATTGTTTTTACTAATAAGTTGTTGATCTAGTGATAAGCGAACTAGTCTTTAAGAGAATTTTTTGTTAATATATAGAGTTCAAATTTTGGAGTTGTATTTGTTAGGAGGAGCTAAAATTTATCGCTCATGCTCCGAAGAGAATTAGTCTTATCTCTAATATGAGATAGAGGTACTTGAGTAAAACAAAATATATATATATATATATATATATATTCTTTCATTTAACATTAAAATATAGTTGAATCAGTTAATACAACTATTTTTTTTCTCGAATGGCTTTAAAAACATACTTCTATACCAGTTTATGCTTTCAAAAGAATTAATTCCCTTGAATATTGTATCAAAATTTAAATTCAAAAAAAAATCCTTAATCAATCTATCTACCTTTTGAAAATAAAACGAGTGATCATTTTAATTCAAGATCATATTAACTCCTTTTTTCACATAAAAAAAAAAAATTAGTAAATGCGATGGATCAGTGTAGACATGAAAGACTAACAGTTTGATACTAAATTTCCATAAATATAGTAGGATTGGAACTGTAGGTTAATTAAAATAAATGGCAGTTTAATATTCAATCTTAAATAATTAATATATGGAACTTTTTTAAGCAGTTTAAAATTAATTTTTAACTATAAGTATGTGAAACTTTACTCGATCCCTGTATAATAATAATAAATTAAAAAAAAAAGTCACCTAATTTCTAATGAGCAATGGATACCCAAAACTATCAAGGTGGAACTCCAAAACTTGAAAAGGAGGTAATTCATTTCAATTATTTATTTATTTTATTTTAACAAAATTGGATTTGTCTTATTTTTTCGATTCAAAATTGATAATTTTGAAGAATTCAGATAATATGAGTAGAGAAAATATGTAATTTCTTCTTATATTTTTGAACAAATAAATAAATAAATAAAAACTAGCATTGCCTCTGCATGATAAGAAGTCATAATATGATCCGATCAAAGTCCAGAAAAGATTGATCGGATATTAAGACATCCGGTCCAATAGTGAAATTAGTCGATGCCTTGTGTTTCTATAAACATCTATATGTGCATTATATTCAATATTTGAACTAAAAATTAAATAAAATCTAACCGATAGCATGATCTATTATTTTGAATGAAGAGATCAGAGTTGGTGTTTATACCCTCGCCGGGTATCGGCCACGTTACATCTACGGTGGAGTTGGCTCGGGTTCTTGTCGACCGGGACGACCGATTCTTTGTCACAATCATCTTGATGAAGCTACCATTTGATGACAAGTTCACAAGCTACTGCCAATCACTCGCTGAATCAACTATTTCTAACAATATCAAATTCTTGGACCTCCCTCTTCTCGAACAAGCTTTGGATACGAAGGCCAAAGACATTGTAGCTACGTACATGGAAACGTACAAACCTTTGGTCAAAGAAGCTCTAGCTCAGCTCATTGAGTCGTCCACCTTAAGACCTGATCAGCCGCCTCGACTCATCGGTCTCCTTGTTGATATGTTTTGTGGGACAATGGTAGATGTGGGCAATGATTTTGGTCTGCGAAGCTATGTGTTCTTCACTTCTGGTGTAGGTTATTTGAGTCTCTTGTTTTCTATGCAAACCATGAAAGATGAGCAAAATGTGGACTCGACTCAGTTCAAAGGTTCGGATACTGAGTTGATGATATCAAGTTTTGCTAAGCCAATTCCTGCTAGGGTTTTGCCTTCTATGTTTCTTAACAAAGATGTTGTTCCTGGCTTCTTAAATTTGGCAAGAATGTATAGACAAACAAAAGGTATTGTTGTCAACACATTTTTGGAGCTGGAATCCCACGTGATGAGCTCATTTTTTGACGGTCTGACCCTTCCGGTATACCCAGTCGGACCTATTCTGAAGCTCCAACGTAATGACGGTGATAAAGGGTCAGATAAGGTCCGTGAGAAAGAAGAGATCATTGGGTGGCTTGATGATCAACCTCCATCATCGGTGGTGTTCTTGTGTTTCGGAAGCATGGGAAGTTTTGACGAGGATCAATTGAAAGAAATTGCAAAAGCGTTAGAGCATTGTGGCCATCGATTTTTGTGGTCTCTACGTCGAGCTCCACCAAAGGGCACCATTGTATTCCCTAGTGGGTACAATAATCCCAAGGAAATATTCACCGACGGATTCTTGGATCGGACGGCAAAGATCGGAAAAATCATCGGATGGGCTCCACAAGTGGACATCTTGGCACATCCAGCGGTCGGAGGATTTGTATCGCATTGCGGATGGAATTCTATACTGGAAAGTTTATGGTTTGGTGTGCCGATTGCGACTTGGCCAATAGACGGAGAGCAACAGTTAAATGCCTTCCAAATGGTGGTTGAGTTAGGGTTGGGAGTGGAAATCAAATTAGATTATAGGAAGGATTTTTTGAGTGATGATGAAGTTAAAATGGTGACTGCTGAGGAAATAGAAAGAGGTATAAAAAGCTTGATGGAAAATAATGGCGAAATAAAGGAAAAGGTGAAGGAGATGAGTGAAAAGAGCAAGAAAGCCGTGATGGAAGGTGGATCTTCACACTCTTCGTTTGATCGTTTCATTGCAGATCTGATGAGCTAGTAGTTTATGATAATCCATCTTTTTATTCTTATTTTTATCAAAAAGTTAAGTGGCTTCCTTGTATCCAAGGCTCATTAAAGATTGAAACATGGAATTTTTTTTTTTTTTTTTGAATCTTGATATAGCTGAAGATGAAAGATCATTATCTCTCATTTTGTAATTCAAGATTCGTTGAACAGTTGAATCTCTTGATAAAAAAAAAAAAGGTTTCTTTTTCCTAAAAATTAATTTAGTTTAGATGAATTCATTTCAAGTTTTGGACATATAAAATCTCTCTATTTTTTGAATTGTCTTGATTGAGATCTTGTATTATGTTTGATATTAATTTAGTTCTTTTATTATTATTATTATTTTTTTCATTTCTCCATTATAACGTCATTAATTGTGAGCTAACGTGGCACGTCCACTCCTGAATATATGACATATGTCATATGTAGGACTCTAATAAAAAGGCTCAATCAAAACAATTCAAAAAATATAAGATTTCAATCAAAATAATTCAAATAGTGTAGGAATCAAATTTTTCTTTTTTTAATTTTTGTGTTTTAAATGTCATGAAACGTATCATATGTTCATCATCACAATAAAACTCTGAAAAATATTATTTTTAAAAATAAATTATTATAATAATTAAAAATAATAAAATACATACAAGACAAACCTAATATGTAATAAAAAAAAATAGAGTACAAATATGTTTGTCAAAATTAAAATAAATAAATAAAACATTAATGTTGACTAATTAGCTAATTATCCGTATCAAATAAAAAAACATTTGGTGCACTTCTAAGTTCTTAATTTTGAGAGAGCAACTCCATTTTCACTTTTAATTAGTCAAATATTTGAGATTTCTTACTTTTTATGAAGGTTTAGACACATTAACTAAGAATCTATGAATGATCGATATTGCACATTATCATATTTTTATTTTAATAATTACTTGTTAGTTTTTTTTCATATTATGTTATTATTTTTAACTCATTTATAATAATTAAAAAAATACTTCAAAGTTTTATTGTGACGAGTCTCACATACAACAAATAAATTATAAATTAGTCTCCCTCGTTTAGAGAAACAAATTAATTTGTCTATTTCCTTTCAAAAACTAATAATTTAGTCCCGCACGTTTTAATTCTATTAATAACTTGGTCTTTTTTCATGAATTTTTTGCTAGATTAGTATTTTTTGTTCCAAATTATCCTTTCTTTGATTTTTACTTGAGGGGAGAGAAAGAAACTATGTGAAGAAGAAAAATAAGGCATCAAAAGAAGGATAATTTGAGATAAAAAATCATAGATCTAATTAAAAACTTATAAAATGACTAAATAATTGACAAAATTAAAATATAGAGGATTAAAGATTAGTTTTTAAAACGAGAGAGACTAATTAATTCGTTTCTCGATCAAAACCAAAGAGACTAGTTTATAATTTAATCAAAATATGACACATTTCGTGCATTTAGGATGAGATTTTAAAAAAATAATAACATGAAAAAAAAAAAAAAGCAATAATTTAGTCCCTATATTTTTTTGAATTCTTTTGATTAAAATCTCATATTTTTTTTAATTATTTTGGTTGAGTATTTTTATAAGGATTTCACGTATAAGACATATCACATTTAGGAGTGGGCATAATACATTAGTATCATGTCAGCTCATAACTAATGACGTTATAATAAGAGGGATGGAAATAAAATAAAATGAAGAGTAGATAGATTTAATCACCAAAAAAAAAAAAAAAAAAAGGTCTCAATAAGAACAATTTGAAGAATAGAGGTACTACATATAGGCAAAACCCAATTCACTTCTTTAGAAGTACATAAATGGATGAAGATTTTTCTATGTTAATCTCTAATAAATCCGCACATATTATTGATGTTTTGCAATTAGCTTTTCTTGAGAATTTTATTTATCTTCTTTGCAGTGGTTTCTTGCAAAAAGGAAAGGAGCACTACCAAACTTTTAGATCTAGGAATGGTAATAGACTAGGTATAAAATGAGTATTTATTATTTCGACACAATAAATACTTATTAAAAATATCCAATGGTTATTGAAGTGGGTAAAAATTAAAAAAAAAACATACATATTCGCTAATATGTTTTCAGAATATAGATACTCACTCTTTATTCTATTAATATTCATTAATTTATTTTTATTTTTCTAAATAGGAATCTAATTGCATAAACGTTAAAAAGTAAGAACCTAAATATTTTTTCCAAAAAACTTGAGGACCAAAAAAGATTGTGAAGAAACAATCAAAATGTAAAAATAATAATAATAATAATACTAAATTTTAAGGACAAAAAACAATTTATTAAAAATTATAGGAACTAAAATAAATATTTTGGATAAATTATTTTTAAAGGGTATTAAATAGATACTAAATGGACAAGTAAACTAATGTGAGTTAAGTATAGATGGGATAAATTTATATAATAATTTTTTTAATGAATAATTAATAAAATATTTTTTTATAAATATGATAAAAAATTAAATTAATAGATTGGATATCCGTCTATTGCCATCCCAGTGAGTGGACCCAATATTTCAATACAAATAGACAAATTAAATCAGAAGCTCCTGTATATTGGTCTGGTATAATCTTTTGACATGTTTTTTGTATGGATTTAGCTGAAAAGCAATCAAGTTCAGATACTCCTGATAAGTTCATAGAAAATGTCAAACAATGCTGCAGTACTACTACCTTTAGACTAGAGAAGGTATAATAGGAGAGGGATATATTTAACTTTTTTGTATACCAGCAGAAGCCTGTGGTCTTCTGTGTTTGTATTTGATCAAGAACTGACAATAAAATTATTGGTGATATTGTCATTGCAACCAAAGGAAGCTTCAAACTTTGACTTGGCCATATTGATCCAACCAACTCGTCCAATATGTCATCTTCGAGTAAATTGATGTACTAAACATGGATTTGGATGTTTGTTCTTTTTCTTTGTTCTTGTTTTGTCAACTTTTTCTATGAGAAAGTTTGTTCCTATTCCAACGTACATTTATAATGGTCAATTTTCTACTGCTAAAAATTATGGATGAGAGCAAGATCTTAGTGTTGATTACTAATTGTTTACGTAATACATATAGATTGCTCATTAGTCGAAAGGTGAGAGGTGAGGTAAAAACTTATGATATTATTGTTAAAATCTTATCTCTTATTAATAAGCCAAGAATATTTGTTAATTAATGCGGGCAAATTTTTTCATTGACAAGAAAAAAGAAATATATGGGAAGCAATTGATGCATTTTTATTTGGATTTAGGTGAAAAGAGAGTATCTATGGAGCCAACTAGTGAGCAATAAAAAAAGAAAGAGGGGGAACCACCAGGAGGTGACGTAGCGAGCAAGGACTTAGTATCAAAGGGTTTGCTTCCCCGTGGTCTCGGGTTCGAGTCCCGATTGCTTCTCTTGATGGCCACCGAAGGCTTACATGATCGTTAACTTTAGGACCCGTGGGATTAGTCGAGGTGCGCGTAAGCTAGCCCGGACACCAACGTTATCAAAAAAAAGATGGTTCAAAAAATTGATGCATTTTTATTTGGATCTAGGTGAATAGATAAAAAGGATACAAGGATTGAAAAAGATAAGTTAAAAAATTAAGGGAGCCAATTGCCCTCCTTCTTCACAAGGTAGCTTCGCCCCTGTTCAAATTCATGTGACCTATACTTAAAAGAGTGTAAGTTGAGCTGGAGTTCATCATCATTAAAAAAGAAAAAAATCCAAAATTTATGGATCTTCTTTTCAAATTTATTTGACATTTATATAGTTAAAGAGTGCATGCTAGGATGGAGTTCCTCATCATTAATTTTGTACAGACATAGTTTAGTGGTCGTGTGACTATATAATAGGAGAGGGTTATCACCTGTCATGTGACTCAAAGATTATGAATTTTTAAAAAATAAAAAATTCTACACATTGAAGTCATAGTGATTTATTTTAGATAAAATGAATTTTCCATTCTATCTGGGAGGTCTTTTCCATTAAGATCATTTTAGAAATAATTTTTTCTTTAACTTAGTTTGAATGGTTAAGCCAGTAAGAGTTAACAATTGGATATTTTATTTAAGTACAAGAAAATACTATAATCTAATGTCATTGATATCACAATATATATATATATATATATATATCAGTGCGCTTTGAGGCCCGAAAGAGCAACAATTGTAGACTTTTTCAAGGAAAGCAAAATTCATTATGGAACAAAAACTGAATTATCAGCACTTTTGATTATGAAATTTGTACCCAATTTTATTTATTTATTTATTATTATTATTATTTTTTTTATCTTTCAAGGCATTCCAGACTCAAAGATTTAGGTTATTCTCTCGTTATTTTACATGCTGACGCACAACACAAAAATAATTATTTAGAAAATTTTTTACATACATAATTAAATATTTGAATTCAAAACTACTTATGTAAGAAATTAGATCTCTTTCCACTCAATTCAATCCTTTTAAGTAAATTTGTACCTAAATTTTCACTCACAGACAATGAAACAGATGAAAATGACAAACACGAAGAGATTGGAAGGCAAAAAGACTTAAAAGAATCATATATTTTACAAAAATACAAGAGGAAGAAAGAGTACTATGGATAGCTAAAGCTTCAAGCCCATTTGGCAATGAGAGACATACAACCAGCTCCCAAAAGAAGAGAAACATTAACCCCAAATTGAAGTCTTCCATTACTTTGCACTTTTGGATGCATGAAATCAGCTGCCAGAAGATCCACAAGTGCCATATAGATTAGGATACCAGCTGATGCAGCATTAAAAATTCCTTCAACAATAAGAGCATTTGGACTGCTCTCATTATAGACATTTGATATGCCTATGCCAATTCCAATGCCAACTGGGGTTGTTAGAGAGAAGAAGAGCCCCATAATTACAATAGCTTTGGACTTGAATTTTGCCTACAAAAATCAAAACAAGTATATCAATCAACGCATATTTAGGGCAAATTTTCAATTTTAGTCTATTCAAAAATAGCCAATGTATGTAGTTGAAAATAAAGCTACCGAAAATTACCTGAGTAATGCATCCACCAAGTCCCATACCCTCAAAAAATTGATGAAAGCTCAGGGCAGCCACTAGAGGTCTTATTGTCTTGGGACTTTTAGAAGCTCCCAAAGAAATTCCTATTATCACAGAGTGCACCACAATTCCCAACTCCAAAACCTGAAGAGCAAAAACACAAAACATAAATTATCTGTTGCTTATTCTACATCGATTGCGGAAGAAAATGGGTGTTTCGTTATAAGTGTGTAGAAGGAAAAAAAAACAAAAAACTACCTGTGTAATAACTCGGTGGCGAATAAGCTGAGATGAACTATCAATCGAACCATGAGAATGGCCATGAGTTGCATGAGTATGAACATGAACATGACCCTCATGTGACTCTACTGCCGCCTTCTCCTCATCCCCAATATTCTCCTCAGGTTGAGCCTTGTTGAGGTGCAATCTAGAAAAGTAAGAATTTGCAAGACAATCCACCATCAAAGTCCCAATTGCTGACACCATTGCCACAAACCCCGTGAAGGGAAATTTACCCCAAGGATTTTCATCAAGGCATGGCGATGTCAAGCTCTCAAAAGCATCAGGAAGCACGTGAATAAAGCCAGTCGACAATATAACCCCAGCGGCAAAAGCTTTAATGATGAAGAAGATATTCTTTTCAGGGCTTAAAGCAGGGATACTCTTTCCAAGAATTGGAAGACCAACTCCAAGAAATCCAGCAAAAAGGATAGAAGCAATCGCTGCAGCTTTGTATTTCAGGGCCTCAGATTTATTGCTTTCTTCCTCTTCCCCTGCATCACATGTGCATTCCCCTAGGGCAAGGCTAGGGAGTAGTAGAATCAAGCAAAAAAAGGTTAAATAAAATTTGTTAAAGTTCTCCATAATAATGATTGGATCAAGAGAAAACTTGTTAGTAAAGTGTAGGAAAAGAGAGTGAAGGAGATGCAGGCAGGTTGTGTTGTTATATATAGAGGAGTTCTATGTCAGATTGTGTGTGAAAATATTGCTACAGTAGTCGTGCAGAAACTTATGATTTCCTACTGCTAGCTATACATTGTTGTACGTCTATACACTATTCGGATGGCGTCATGGAATTTGGAAGTTTTCTGAAAGTCGGGGCAAATATTTACAAAGAAGAAGGTAAATTACCAAAAGGGTATTCAGAAATATTATGTTTGTTCTGGTAGGGTGAGTGAATTGATGAAAATATAAGGGTTAAATAGGTAATTGGGTAGTTCTAATTAGCACATAATTAATAATTATTACTGGAAGTTACGCTGTTTAGCAGTGGAGAAATGATGAGGACATCCTAAGCTGTATTTTGTTAAACTAAGACTTAAATCCTTTTCATACATAGATTTTCCCTAACTAACAATGTTGTGAAAAATTAATGTTTAGAGTTGAAGAATGTCGACATTTACAGGTGATAAGAAGTTAGGTTCCAAGGATTTTCATTTTTTTTTTAGGTTTCTCATAGAATAAGGAAAGTCAATTACAATTGTGTGGACATTATGTGCCTTTAATTCACTTCACATGTCATAGAATCACGTCATAGAATAAGGAAAGGAAAGTAAATTACAATTATGTGGACATTATGTGCCTATAATTCACTTCACACGTCACTACTATGCAGGAAAGTTCAAAGGTCAACCAATTCAATATTATAAGCAATGGTGCATAACACTTCGAAAAGCTATATATTTCGGATAACGTTAATTCTTTAATCAAATTTGGATTAGTATAGTTTTATGATCTGAAAATATTTTCAAAAAATTATATATTTCAGTCGATTCAATTAAATTTTGATCAATATAGTTTCATTGTTTAAAAATGTCTTTAACAAACTTTGAAAAACTACATAACTCTTTAATCGAATTTGATGATCCGAAAATACCTTCGAAAAACTACATAACTCTTCGAGAAACTACGTAAGTCTTTAATCGAATTTGAGTCGGTGTAGGTTCATGACATCTTCAAAAAGCTATATATTTCGGATCATGCTAATTCTTTAATCGAATTTGGATTAGTGTAGTTTTATGATCTGAAAATATTTTCGAAAAATTATATATTTCGGTCGTTTTAATTAAATTTGGGTCAATATAATTTCATGGTTTGAAAATACCTTTAAAAAACTACGTAACTCTCCAAAAAAATAAATAACTCTTTAATCGAATTTGATGATTTGAAAATACCTTCGAAAAACTACATAACTCTTCGAGAAACAACGCAAGTCTTTAATCGAATTTGAGTCGGTGTAAGTTCATGACATCTTCGAAAAGTTATATATTTCGGATCACGCTAATTCTTTAATCGAATTTGGGTTAGTGTAGTTTTGTGGTCTGAAAATATTTTCGAAAAATTATATATTTCGATCGTTTTAATCAAATTTGGATCAATATAATTTCATGGTTTGAAATGCCTTTAAAACTACATAACTCTCCGAAAAAATAAATAACTCTTTAATCAAATTTGATGGTCTGAAAATATCTTCGAACAACTACGTTAGTCTTTAATCAAATTTGAGCCATTGTAGGTTCATGGTTCGGTTAGCTTAATGCAGTCCAAGGAAAGTGCTATCACCATAGGACCTGAGCATGTCATGATCATATACTCTATTTGTTGGCACAACTAATTTTGGAGGAATTTTATTAGGTTGATGTTCTAAAGGAAATAAAAATTATTTTTGTTATATGTAATAAAAATCCATACTTCTTGTGGAACAACACTAGGAGTTTGGGATTAGTTTAACAGAGTCAAACATGGACCACAACACACAAAAAGCTCAAGTTAGGTCCGTTTAGATTAGGGTAGAGTAACGCAACAGCATTTTCATGGACGACAGAAATAGGTTCGAAGAAAATTATGATCTCTTGTATTCGCCAAACCAAAGACAAAAACATGCAAGTGTCAACTGATATCAAGCTCGCTTAATAGAAAAGTAATAAAATTACAAAAAACATGGAAGTTTAGACTCAAATCCAAGATCCCTATAGCAAAACCAAGCAACACAAGCTTACTTGCAACAACAATTATACAGCACTTTACAGAAGCAACCAAATCAAGCGATCATCATTGCACATTTCTGATTGCATCTATTACTGGTAAAGCATGGAAAATGCAATCTACTTCTTCGTTTTTGCATCTTTGTCATATGTTTCGGCGTAGTATTCTTCATCGTCAAAATATTCTTCATCGTCATCATAATCCTCATCATCATAATAATATTCTTCCTCTTCGTCATCACTGTTCTCTGTACCATTTTCCAGCAGCCCACTTGACTGCCCTCTCAATCGCTCTTGAATTCGATCCCTGATTGCTGTGCCCTGAAAGACATCCAATTCAAGGGTAAAAGATTGTTGGAGGACGTGGGGTATATACATGTATAGCTGCAAAATCTCCATATTGTCAATCATTGTGTATGAGAGATTGAGAATGCATAGTTCAACTTGCCGATTTACTTCATACCCCATAAAGAGACAATAAAACTTACCATTTTATGGCACCCTTCTTCAAACATCTCAAGAAATCCAGCAACCCAGCGATCAGCATTTTCCACCCATTCATTACGATGCATTGCAACAGTTTGAATCTGTAAAAGGAAACAAAAACAACTATGAAACACATATACAACATAGCAAGGCAGAAAACTGAATATTCCATAAATATAACGAGCATAGAAATTCTAGAAGCCAAAAAAGAAAAATAAAATAGCAAACATGTGAAGTTAGGGAAGATTGACTTGTCCATGTCCGATGGTTGGTTTCATCAGAATGGCATAAAAAACCCCAAAATAAGAGAAATATTTGGCTTCGCTCTGTTTATCCATTCTAAGCAAAAGTATACAATGAAGTGGAAAGGCTGTCTATGACAAGCTTCCAAATACCTATAACCAACACCTGACAACTAGTACACTGCATTCTTAACACTGTATTTTACACTACAACCATTACCAACTTAAAATGCTTTTGCACGCAAACTGAGTCTGACACTTTCAAAATTAAAATTAAAAATAAAATGCAATGCTGTGCTGTATAAACACTGCAATAGCTAATGTAGGACAACGCTAACTTTTCACAATTTTGATGTTTGCCCATACTAGTCGTGTGAAGAAAAGGCATGTATGTGAAATTTCTACATGGAGTTGGCATTGCTCCTTAGTTCAATGCATCAAATGACACAAAATGTGCTAGATAGCGAACAATAACATTACTAAAATTGGTAATTTGGGGGTTATATTTCAAGGATACAACTGCAGAATCAAGTCACAATAACTTACAGTAGATGCTCCATAATTAAGAGAGCATATTTAAGTTAGTGGAAGAAAAAAGAAATGAATGACTAGAAGAAATGATATGTTTCTGGAAGAAGCGAAGAATCATATCACAAACTAAATGTTAACCATAAGCGTTAAATGATACTTATAAGTAAAACAGAAAAGGGAAAGTTGGTTAAACACAAAAATATTTAGGCATAAGATAGAACAGACCCTTTCTCCAACTTTTTCTTGATGTTCCTTCACTTTCTCTTGTAGCTTCTTCAACCTCATGTTCACCCTCAGTCGCTTTTCCTATTTAACATTGAACAAAACCAGAAAAAGGTAAGTTCCCTCATTGGGAAGAAATGCATAAAGAAGTCCACACAAAAACAAAATTCTGAGCAGTATCATCCAATCACTTCCAGATAAGATATAAACACATGCCTTTACGAAGCTAACACCAAGCTCTTTTCTCGAATATCCTCGATCCAAGTTACGCAAGACATACTGGTTATAGTCTTTGACAATCCTCATTATAATGTCCGATGTAGAAATGCCATCAGTTCTTTTTGTTTCTTTGAACCTTCCAGCTTTTTTTACCTGAAATAGAAGGTCGTGTAACATAATTTTATAATGCCAAGAGGATAAATGGAAACACAAGCAATAACTGTTTCTCGAACTTACAAATTCATAAACGTCTTTTCCAGCTCCACTGGCATCAGCATAGCTACACATAAAGTGCAAGGTCGAATGTAAGAGATTGCTGATATATTTTAAAACTTAACTCCCTTAAATGGACATCACATCACGGATTCCATTGGGATGAAATATAGAGTTAAAACAAATAGAATAAATATGTAACACTTAGCTTTCCCTCGTATAACCATAACCTATTGCTGAGTAGTTATATGAATAAATTAGATACTAAACTTGAGATATGTGAAGGATAATTTCATCACAATTGGACACAAAGATCTGTGTTTTGATTTGGATTTCTTACGGTAGAGAATCATGGGCTACGTAGTCAATATTGTGCTTGTCGAGAAATTCTTGATCAACCACCCAAGGGGCACTAGGAATGACTTCGTCCACCCACCTGGAAAAAAAAAAAAAAACAAGGTTTCATGCTATCAATGACACCAGAATCTGATTCCAAGCAATTATGTCTCCTGATGAAGCAAATACCTTTAAAAAGGTACATCTTACACAAGAAAACTCTGATGCTGGAAAACAAAAGCTATTTATAAGTTCGACAATAAACAAAAAACATACTTGCAATGGCGAAGAGATTCATAACGCTCATCCTCAGTCATAACAGTTTTGCCCTTGTACTTGTGTGTGATTTCATCATTGCAACATCCAACGAGCAAGTACGTGTTTGGAAACCTAGATTCACAAAGTTACCACATAAGCAGCGAGCCAGAACGTGTTTTTGAGCAAAAGTATCAACAAAAAGGTCTCTGATTACAAGAAAAACAGAGCACCACAGCATATAATCATATGCTGTAAATAACATCAAATTTTTGAAACCTAACAACGTAGACCAATCAAAACCACCTTAATGAACTCAAAATCTAACAGAAAGTATGACAATTTCAACAATATAACAATACAAGTTTAAATTCAAAAGCAAAAGGAAAAAGGAAAAATTTTACTCAAGTAAACAATCTTCATCTATAGTTGAACAGATTAATCAGTCTCAATTAATATACACAATAACCAACTTTAAAAAATAACAAAAATACTTCAAGCACGAAATCAATTTGAGCGGAAAAAAAAAACAGTAGAGAAATTCCTAACAGTGGCAAAAGAAAGTTTCAACCTTTCACATGATCCACAGCACAACAACACAAATCCAGAAAATACAATAGAACCCAGAAAAGCAAATCCAATAAAAGTTACAAAAATTCATAAAATTCAGTGTCCAATCAAATTCCCACAAAACAAGAAAAACTCAGAAAAGGAAACAGATCAAACCACAAAACAAACCAAAAAAACAGAAAATTTAGCAGAAAAACACAAACAAATACAGAAACATACGATTTTTTGGCTTGTTCAAGGGAGCGAGCGTGGCCAAAATGGAAGAGATCATAGATCCCGTCAGCATAAACACGAACAGGACGATCAGACGGTGGTGGTGTTGAAAGATTAGAATTCGATTGACAAGAAACTTCGCAGCTATTTCCATTCATCATCTTCTCTTGCTGCTGCGTCTCTGCCATTCGAATTAGAATAAAATTTACAGTGTCCCTGTTTTCCCTTTTTTTTTTTTTTTTTTGGTCCTATATTTTTATTTTTTGTATTTTTATTTTTCAGGTTTTTTTAAGAATCCTATTTTTGCGTGCCCTTTTATTAAGGAATATACTACTGTTCTGATCCTTCCTTTCTTTCTTTTTATAGGCCAGAGGAACAAAAATAATAGTAAAAAACTAATTTATATTGATTTTTGGAGTAATTGTGTTAGTTTTAATTTAGTAATTAGATTTTCAGACAAAAAAATAATTAGTATTAAATATTAATTAGATTTTTTTACAGTTTTATTTGAAAAACAAGACATGTGAAAAGCTATGTCGATTGATAAAGTTAATCATGAATCTCACTTTGATGTTAACAGATTTTGAAACTTAATTGCCAGTAATGTAATGATAAGGCGCGTCTGATTATCGTCGGTTGTGGATTTGAAGGTTATCAGTCATCATCTGTGTTTTTTTTAAAAAAAAAAATCTCTATGTAAGTTTTTAGTTTAAATATTTAAATTAATCTTTCGTTATTTCGTTGAACACACCAAACAATTATAACTATATAAAAAACTTTTCATATAAATAATTACTCAAGTTCAAAATTATTTATTTAAAAAAATTATAGTTATTTTTGCTCAAATCATCTTTAATTTTTGAAGGAGTAAGAACTTATTTCAGTGAAGAAATTACTAGATATACCTAAAACTATATTTTTTCATCTCAAAAAAAAAAATTAAAACCTATACATAGAAGATATAATTTAACAATTATATATTCAATATTTTTTTTATATAAAAATAAGTTGGAATTTCAATAACTCCATTTATTTGTTTATCATGTAATCAGAATGATACTCGAAAGGATGTTTTTGGACTAATAAATATAGTTTATTCTAGTGTTTCCTAGCGTTTGGTGGACTATGTAGCTCAAGACCTATGAAAAAAAAAAGACTCAATATGAAAATAATTCATGAATCTTATATTTTAATAAGAAGAAAGTATAATTCCTGATATATGAATAATTTCACGATGAACTGAATTTTGTACAAATTATTCATATGGTGGTATATTTATATTTTTGGAGGCTAGATTCGTTGATAAGTAGTCATCTTATTACATCATAATGCACAGTTTGAATCATAGTAGAAATTGTAATAAAAACATTTTTTTTAAGTGTACTATTTTTGGTATAAACAGCCTATTTAAACTCTGATTAAAAAAAAAATTGAAATTATGAAATCTCAACTTTTACCAATAAATCACAAAAAAAAAAAAAAAAGGCACCGTTCAAGTAAAAATTGGTAAAGCACATCAAAATTGAAGCATTCAAGGTGACAAATTTGAAACTTCCTAATTTGCATCTTTTTTGAAAATATAAAGTATACATTAATTGAACTGAGCTTGTTTTTTTTATAATTTTTTGTATTGAATATGAGGTTTAACATTCAAATCTCACTTGATTTTCATGTTTTTTTTTTATGGTCACCATAAGAAGTTTATGTTCGTTTTTCTTATTCTAAAAATGTGAAAGACTCGAAACCTTCTATTTAAAAAAAAAAGTATAACCAATCATGGAACAATAACATCCCTTTCCTTAAATTTCACAAGTAATATGAAGAATTTTTTTTCCCTTCCAAATATGGAAAGATTATGTACTCCTTCTATTTCTTTCGTTTGAAAGATATTGTCCATTATTAAAAAGTCAAACTATTAATTCTTTTTACATTATTGAACATGAAAAAACATTTTCATCACTGAATATTAGAGAAGGACAAACATATTCTTCGGAATTTTGAGGAGGATAATGAATTATAATTTCTTTTTTATTATTATTGTTATTATTGTTGTTGCTGCTATTGTTGTTATCTGTTGCTTGATTTTGTTGCTTTATAATCTCAACATGCATCCCCACTTGTTTCATAATTTTTTGGGAAAGTTTTGGTGGATCAAAAGCTCCCTTGACAGTCACTTGTGACTTCTTCATATCCGCCTCTACACTTAAAACTCCTGCCATAAAAAGATTATATAACTAAATATTATACACAAAACCTCAATAAATAAATTTTATTGATTTTTATATAGTTATTTTAAAAATATCCACTAATCTTAATTAAAATAAAAGAATAGATAGATGGATATATATATAACTTTTTAAATTTTAAGTCTAAATATCTTACTCAAGTTAGTTTTATGCATCGAGATTTCTTGTACTTGAAAGAGAAAAAAAAGATAAATAATTATATATAATTTTTAGATTTCAAGCCTAGATGTCATACTCGAATCAGCTTCATGCATCGAGATTTCTTATAATTAAAAGAGAGAAAAAATAGTGAAAAGAGTAATCATTGCTTAAGATTAAATCTACCTTTAAACAAATTAATTAGATATATGCTTGTATCTATAAACAACCAGTACTTAATGAAGAAATCAAAGAATAACTTAAGAAGATAAATCAGTACAGAAAATATATGTGCCTAAGCTTTAGAGAAGGTAGGTAGAGATCTCACCTTCCATTTTCGAGACTTTTTTCTTAATATCATGAGCACAACCTTCACAATGCATATTCATTTTCAGCAACATGTTCTTCACTTGAGGCTACACAAAATGATTGAATATCGAAATTAAACAGAAAATATATAAAAAAAAAATGAATGGAGAAGTGATTTAGATGATTTTAGGGCACCTTACCACTTGTTTCTTTTCTGGCTCTTTTTCATCTTTAGCATTATTAGGTTTTGGTTTTGGTGATATAAGCTCAACATTTCTACTATATTTTCTTTGAAGTCTCTCCAAAACTTTTGATGGATCGGCCTTTGGCCCCTTCACAGCTACCTTGTTCTCTTTGCTATCCACCTTAACTTCTTCCACACCTAACCATTAAAGATACATTTGCCCATCAACTCAAAATGGAGTAAAAAAGATGAACAAAAACACAATTAAACAACATTAATTATAATTAGTTACCTTCAAAACCATTCAAGATATATGCGATTTTATCAGCACATCCTTGACAATGCACGTAAGCTTTTAACACAATTTCTTTGCCATTATTTCCTCCTTTCTTTTCTTCTTTGTGCTCCTCTTTTGACGTCTCAACTGCCTCTCCATTTTGTGGTGCATTTGGGTTATTTTTATTCTAATAAGCAAAATGAAAAGAGTATAGTAACGTTCCATGAAAAATAATTCATGTACCCAAAAAAAAAAAATATTAGTTGATGAACAAATAAACAAAAAAAAAAGGTAGAGGAAGAAGGATACCTTTGCCATTCTCTTGTAAGTCAGAAAAATTCAAGTTTTTCTCCAAGATTTCATGTATATATATATATATATATATATATATATATATATATATATATATATATATATATATATATATATATATATATATATATATATATATATATAGCACATTGCATACGTTACAATACTATAAAGTTCTTAACAAAATGGAGCAAAAAGCTCTTCAATGCTTAGTTGAGAGAGGATATTTTTCATTTTAGAAACAAATTATATATTTTTTATATACTTCTTAAAAAGTAATGACCTTTTTTGGAAAATTTTAACCACTTCTTTCCTTCAATTTGCTATAAAATATTTAATTATGAGTAATCATATTATTCAAGATTGTTCATTAAATAATTGATTTTAAATTTTATTTATTTGTCTTCATAAACGGCAAATTGAATGTATTGTTACTCGAAGAGTTGGAAATTTATTGAGCAGTTAATTCATATATAAACTTTTTTTTTTAATTAATCATCTGAGTAAGTGGAGCTGTGGAAGGACCCTTCACATTTTTAGCCTCATATTTGCAAACTAAAAATATTTAATCACTTAATTATTAAAATTTTGACTGGATAATAAACTATTAAGTATTTGCATATTGTATGATCATCTTAAAAAATTGATTGACATGAAGGGAAAAAAAAAAAAAGAACAGCTGAAAAGAAAAATATTGCATAGAAGATATATATATATACATAAGCGAGTGGGATATTTTCGGATCAGATTTTGTATCAATTAAAATTAAATCTATTATTTTCTATACCAAGACATCGATTTAAGAATTAATTAAGAGAGTGACAATTAGGAGGTGCTAAATGTAGGATTTTTTATATGAACAAAAAAAAAAAAACGACAACTGAAAAGATAAATATTACATTTAAATAGTAAGATATTTTTTGATTAATTTTTACATCATCCGAAATTAAATCCACCATTTTCTAGACTAGGTCAGCCATTTAGGAACTAAGAGAGAGACGATTAGGAGGTGCTAAATATAGGATTGCAGCCATTGATCTCCATCAATAAATGAAATACTAAGGAAAGAAGAAGCTTGTGTATCATTAAGTTTCTGAACATAAGGTGCCCTCATAGCCATATTTGCTCCAGCACCAGAACAATTGTATTCCCCATAGAAAACAGTCCTGCGAAATTAATATTTAATTACATTAATTAACAATACAATTCCAAAATAATTAAATATTTTTAATCCTTTAAAAAATCAGAATAAATAAATAAATAATGATTTTGTAGATGGATCATACTGGTCTCTGGTGGGATCATTGAAGTCATTCCAGCCCTGAGGTGCAATAATATCAGTCATGGTTGTGTATGAAAAAATGACTCTGGAATATGGCCTCCACGCTCTACCTAGCAATATTCTTCCTGTGCCTCCTATGGTGCAGTTCACAAATGCAAAGCCTGTGTTCTCATCCGTGGAATTTCTACCTTGAGCTGTTACTGCTCCATTTATGGATTTTGCTCCTGGGGCTACTGGGTTGGCCATAGAAATCAACTGGCAATTCTGTGGAAAATGTCAAGTGTGTATTGAGAGTAGTGTACGTAGATATAGATGGAGATTAAAAAAGGAAAGAGATAACATACAAGTATACTTAGCCTAGTGGTTGTGTAATCAGCTACCTTCTCTCACCAAATAAGATTCGAGTTTTAGTGACTCAAAATTTTTTTACTGGTTCTGTA